ATCTAGTGCAACGACGCGTTTGGCCGTCCCCCACGGCAATTTTAGACGGGAATATCTCCTCTCCGGCTATTATCACTGGATGATATGACAAAACGTCAGTTTAAGATCCATTTGATTATGTGCCTGTGAAGATCGGATAATGACCACCCGTATATAATTACAAGGACTGGACGAGTTTGTGAAACGGGAGAAAATTATACGAGGAAATGTGTACGCTGCACAGTCGGCCATTTTGAAAATTAAGATTAATGATAGATAAAGGCCGCCATATGAAGCTATCAAACCAAATTTAATGCAACTTTTAGCACATATTTATATATACTTGTATATAAAATGTATGTATGCTTTATATATATAACTATACCTAAGGGTCGCCTGGAAGAAATCGCTTAATTGCGATAAAGCCACCCGTTACACTCCATACTTTAGAGTTTTTTAGTTCATTGTAATTGTGTGCGTAAATAAATAAATAAGAAGAAATAACTTTTATACCAAAATATTTTTTTAATGTTCACATCGTAATTAAATGAATTAATTTTGGGTTATTATAAATATTCAGAATTTTTCGTGATTTAAACTGTTAAAAATTTACCCAGAAATATTACTGATTGCTATATGTGAAATGTGAATATTTCTGTGTCTGTATTGTTGTTGGATGAGCGTGATTATAATTTAAAAAAAAGAAAAAATTCAAATAATTACGATGTATCGTCGTACCTGTCGATCAAGATATAATTTCCTAGTAACTGACATTTCTATAATTACCTACAGTTTAACGAGCCTAGCCGGGCCTTACAAAGCCTTCGGTGACCTTCCGAGAAATAGGCAATACAATGTTGTTGACCACCCGCGTGGCCATACTGTCAGGCAAATTTGTTGAAGTCTCTTGACGGCTTTATTTCTCTTTACTATACAAATTAAGGCTCGTTCTTTTTAAATGGACGCCGCGTGAGTTTACGACTCACTGTAAAACTATATAACTACAAACAAATATTATTTATATCTAAATAGAAGGATACTTGGTGCTTCCATTGTTTTTTTTATTTACCTATCTTACCAACAACGACGTCTGTAAGAGTTAGTTAGGAGTAGTAGTAGTTAGTAGTCAAATTTAACGACGCGGGCGGGATTTGAACCGGCATCTACAGCGTTTCGCGCTGTTAATGTTAAGACATTCAATCGAATTAAGATTGAAAAGTTCATCGTCGTTACCTGCTTAGCAACAAGCAGGATAATGGCATATAAATCTTTTATTCATTCGACGTATGTTGCGTCTAAGAACTTTCAAAGTCACAGTGTACAATGCGAACAGTGCGAACAATGTTGCAAATTGAGTAAGCCATCGCCGAATTAGCACGCTCGACTTTGACGTGCGCGTTTCGTGACCGGAATGTTAACATTTGCAATGTGCTCGCTAAAAAACCCCGCACCTACTTATAACTATATCCCCTATGCTTCAATACTGTGACGGGCATACAATAATAAAGCATTGGATAAGTTTGTCTGTACATTTGGTAAGATTATAAAAAAGCTGGAAGGCGACGCACAAAAAGCGAAGACAACATTTGAAAGTACTAAACTTCTAAGCTTATTAAGATTCGACTTAATTTCACAAAAGATATGAGGACGCTAGAACTAAGTAGAGTAGATAACTGTTATTATATGACTTGACTTATTTTTTATGGTCTAAATTTGTTAATCTACAAGAACACGGTGGCCGAAAATTGTTAACATAATTCTTACACAAATACAGTCAGCACAAATTTATTTACGCCTAAATTGATTGCGCCTTGATTTTCCTCCGCATTGAAAAGAACGTTTTGTTATTAGGCCACTCTTGCTCTAGCAACCTCATACATACAGATGAAGTCACAGGTAAACGCTTGTTAATGAATGTTTTATCCTTTCAGGAAGTGGCTTTACACTATATAAGACACCAATCAATTCTGAAAGTTAAAAAAAGGATGGGGTGGCATATAAGTACAATACACGTGGTTTTTTTATTTGTATCTGTCAACATTTCACAAGATCTTTAACCTGAAGGAATGCTGAGTCCAACTACCGTCCTTACTACATTAATATTTCTATTCAACGTTGACGTACAGTTGACGCAAGCGATAAATTCCAATAACATTTTGACAAGTGCGGCTCGTTATTTATTTCGCTGAATAGTGTAATATTTTACTCGGTGCGTTCTTTACGGTTTTATAGTTTTAAAAATATATAGCCCGGCCGTTTGATTCACATTTAGCTTGACAGGTAATCGTTTAATCTTTTCATTGGCATCGAAGTGAATCGACCGCGGTGGCCCGAATGACTCACAGCCCTTTATTTACCAACGAACATATTAGATGCAATAAAACATACTCTTTGGACGAGCTGTCGAAAATATGCTGTAAGACTTGATGTTGATGGATGATGATTGTACGTATTTTAGAAAAAATCATATTTAACCCTGCACTCTTTAGGTCGTATGTACAAACCCATGTTTTGTTGTTGAAGAAAGAAGCTTACAATATAAAAACAGTGCCTTTTATGTTTTTAAAATTAGATTATATATTATATTAGATCTTGTTATATCCTAGATATGTTCCATTGTGTAACAGGAAAAAGAGATAAATAAAATAATAGCTCTTTATTAGAAAAAACCCTTGACTAAGAGAGAAGTTACTAGGGGTGAAACTGAAAGTACCAGAATATTTTTATGTAGTAAGTTTGTACTGTCACGAAAAACATCCCTCTCACATCAAACACATTTGTTCACATAAAAGTAGACGTATAATAATATTATAAAATACCTTATTAACCCAAGAGTGACAACCCGCAATCCTTTGACTTGAGTCCCTTTGAGCTCTTCTCATTATGTATTATGTACGACTAATTAGCAGAAAATACAGATATAAAAAGAAAACGTTTGTCTATTCATTTACCTATAAACAGATAGTTTTCTTTGTTGTTAACTACGTAAAATTCTATTTTAATAAAAATCTTGTACGTTTTAAATTGCGAAATGTATGTATAAATCAATTAACCATGGCTGCTGCAAAGCATCCGAAACGTCAGGCCGTATTTAAAAATAGTTCTTACGTTTAAATAAGTTTAAGTAATACATTTCGCGTTTTAAACTGTGAAAAGGGTGTACTACTCGCGGAAACCACAGAAGGTATTTACGTAAAATTCAGTATCAGATGCGAATTTATAATTTTTTTCTTGTTACCCAAAAGGTTGGCCACCCCTGCCTTAACCACCTCAAACGGTGGGCATTCTTTCGCTACCTCACACAACGTACCAAGACGTTCGCGAACACATCCATCACAGCTGATTGATTGCAAGTGTCGACGCAATAATGGCGCCGAACGGCGGCCATTTTGAAACCAAATGCACCTAAGCTAATATTAATGTGTGTTATTGATGAGTCATGCCCTATAGTGCTTATTAGACATATTGTTAACTCAAATTATAGAGAACGAATGATTTAAGCGAGCCATCTCTAATTTTTCAAAGTAAAAACTAATAAGAAACATTAAATAAAACACTTTAATGGTTTAAAACGCGATGTATATTAGTTAAACTTACCTACGGCCCGACGTTTCGGATGCTTTGTAGCAGCCGTGGTCCCGGGGAAACTAAAGATGGGGTATGGAGGGTATCTCTGACGTCAAAGTAAAAAATGCTACGCTAGCGCCATCTGTTCCGTCGAAGTTAGTATTTGGCGAAACTGGTCGGGTCCTTGCAGAATTCAGAAGAAATTGCGTTTTAAACCGTTAAAGTGTTTTGTTTAAATGTGTACTACTCGCGTAAACTATAGACAGTATTAAATAAATATGATTTCCAAAATAACTATTCTACAGCTATAGCCAGTTTAAAGACAGTATATGCCCTTAGTGAGCGATAAGTTATTGTTTACGTAAATGGATTAAAAGATCCTTTTTATTTAACGAAATATATTATACCTAACAGCCTTTACAGCTCATTTCTGGTTGTGGTAAGTCTTTCACCAAAAAAATGTATTCACGTAAAATACGATAAATTCGTCGATCAATAGAGCAGAGTTGGTATGGTACAAATCCACTTATCCCAAAAGACAAAGACTGAGAACTGAGACTGTTGAACTAAAAAATCTGGACAAATCAGCCATTATTATTTACTTGTTACTATAAAATTTAGAATGTATGGAAATTTAGAATATAAAAAGTGAATAATTAAATAATAATGCCTTGACGGTTTCGTAAGACTCACTATAAAAGGATTGAAAATAAAACTCCGTTTCTTAAATACAACTGTATTTACATTAGCTAAGATATAAATAAACAATTTGACACCATTTCAGTTATTACGATATTTTCACACGAGAAGTCCTAAGACCCACAATAAATATCTATACAGAAAATGTACTGCAAAATCTAAAAAATACCTCAATTCAATGAGTGAAGAAATATGTAATCTAGTTTGTTCCGAACAACAATGTACAACCACCCATCCCAGTATCACAATGAGATTAACGTTTTGTAAAAATATTTTATTCAAATCCATTAACGAAATGAAACACCCAAGTACACTGCAAATGGCACCTGTAAAAAATGCATTATATAATACAAGGCATAGTAACAACTATTAAACTAGGATTTAATATTTTTAATTAATTAAAAATCGATTATAAATTTTAAAAAAATTTCGACTCGGGAAGGACTTGAACCGGCATCGTCAGCGTTCCGTGCTGTTGCTCTACCAATTGAGCTACCGAGTCCTACACCTCATCGTCGAATTCTTTCAACTTATTCGAGCATGTGTACTCTTGCGCAATGTAATTTCAACCTTAACGCTTGCGTATTAAGGTACAATGTCTTATGCGTTGCAATAAATTGAAAAAAAATATATATAGCGATCATGTGCAATAACATGGGAAAAAATCAAATTATTTATTGTAAAACTGGTAATATAAAATATCATTTGAAGATTGCGTCGGTATAGTAGTAGAACTAAATTTGTTTTTAGCTCACCTAGCTCAATTCGAAGCCGGCGCCTGCTTGTATCGCATACAACAGCTTCTCAGCGAGAACTTCCTCCGAAGGCGTCTCCGGTATCTTCAAGAGGTTCATACAAGTCGATGATGAAGGAAGACGGTCTGAAGATCCAGCCGACTGTATGCAGAACGGAGGCTGCAAGTCCTATAAGAGGAGTTTTAATACACATATAAATATAGTTTTTATTAACAAATATAACTCGCTGGTGATATGGTAGCAATTTATGGCTAAAAATCAACGTACGGTCTGATTCCCACCGTGTCCAATGTTTTTCTAATCTATTTGTCATATTTCTGAATCAGGATATTCAATGGTTGGTATGAGTATCGAAATTCCGTCCGGGTCACGTACCAACATGCACAGATGAAAATACTGTCAAGTTGAAACGCGTTACGTTTTTAGTTTGTGGATTTTCCAATATCCAAAGCCGACAGCGCATCTTGTCCAGATGTGATATGGCTGGGGCTGGCACCTACCATTAAGTGACCTCATGCTCATCTGTCCATCTCTATATATTAGTGGATGAAATTTCAAGTATCAGTTAAGCTATTTGAGGGCGAAAGAGTAATCCACTCTCAATTATAGTTATCTACCCCAGCCATCTTAACTAGGCTTTACATTTAGAATATAACTACTAAATTAGAATAAAAAACAAATAAATAGTGAATACTTAGCATTCATATACATATGGCATTTGATAATCACCTTAAATCCTAATAATGGTGGTCTGGAGCAGCTGGTGACGAATTTAAGGAGTTGCCGCCGCTGGTCGTCCGTGAAATTCTCCACGACCTTCCAAAATTGCTGGATGGTGGGGTGTGTCTCGGAAAACCCACCTGCAATAGATTTTTTTTGTTGTGGTCTTTTGAAAAATACACAATAAAGCTAAAAGTTACTGTAAATGTATTAAATAGAAACTTGACCTAGGTTCAACTTTGTGAATTTTGATTCTTGTTTTTATCAGCCATTAACATCCCCTTGTCCACTTAATATGGTTAAAAACATTAAGTCTTTCAGTTTTATTGAACAGTCTTTATTTAAAGTGCATTATTTTTGTTAGTCATTAGAGCGGTTTCCAAACCCCATAAGCTAGATGAAGCCGCGTTCACTTCGGGAAGTGTTCCTTGACCAAGAAACACAAATAGTTGATCAAACTTTTGTGCCTGCTCTACCGAATAGGATTGTCTATTTAACACGTTTTACAATTTTACTACAGTGGCGGTACGGCTAACATAGTAAAAAAAATATCTTTACCTCCATATTGAGTGTGCCGCCTCAGGTCGTGTAAGTCAATAGGGACCTCAGCACCAGATATTAGCAGCTGCAGCTCTCGACAGGAGAACATTCGCAACCATTCGGAGTTGACCACAGACATCAAGCCCCTTTTAAACGCGTTGCATTGCGCGCGGATTTGCCTAAAACATACAGATAAGCAAACTTTTAATTACATATGTCGACATCAGTTATTTTATTAAATTAATAAAACTTATATTAAAAATAGAAGAATGAGCATGTATTGTTTTATGTATTTTAATGCCAATAAAAAAATGTACGAGGTTATTTTTACCTATATCACTTAGGGGTATGCAAAAATATATAACTCAGACCTAATATGCATATAAAATTTTATAAAAATTGGTCAAGCCGTTTCTGAGGAGTATAGTAACTAAAATGTGTAGGCAAATATCAAATCACGGTATGTCCACCATAAACGAAACTTGGGAAATGAGAGAAATGTGTTTTTAGCTACTGATAAAAGTATTTCATGGAAATTTTAGCAATTGGGGATTTATATAGGCGTTAGTGAGTAGAAGGATGTATAAAAATAAAGTTTTAATAAGATATTATGCTTTAAAACCATGTTAAAGTTTGGACATATCTATGTTTGATCGGAACTAGAGGCATTAATGGAGTTTGAAAAATACCACTGTGGACGTAACGGATTGAAAAATAGCATAGGACTATTGGTTTTGACAAATTATATTAATCTCGAATTAGGGTTGTTCGTCAAAATTTTACTAAACCATAAAATAAAACACAGATCTTTTTATTACCATGTAGTAGTTTAATTTAGTAAAGGTAGACTAATCAAACAAAATGTTAGATCCATCCATAACATAGTTTCGGAATTATTTATTATGTCTTCTTCCCTGTCACCACTAGTTCTATATTTCTTTGCAAGAATTTAAATGCAACTGAGGGATTTGATGCCAGTCAGTGCCAAAATGTTTATGAAGTAATTTGAAATCACAAAGCAGAGCATGTGAGCGTACCCCATAAACCTTTTATTGTATGAACTTACGTTTTGACGGCTGTATTCCAGATGCCAGTACTCAAAATATACATATGTTTTAATAGAAAAAAAGTAATATTAATCAAATGTTTAATTCTTAACATTTGTACAACCCTGGTTTTCAAAACGTTAACGGTTGCAACAAACGCACTATTAGTTAGGATTTGCTTTACTTTTTAGCCTTCTTTTCGAATTATTCTTCTTAACATTGACACATACATCTTCTTTGCTTTTTCAGGATTCAGCACACAATTCTTACATTGTTATAGCATTTTCCCCAACAATCTAAAAGACGACAACGAAGTGTAAGTTCTCACAACAATCTTCTAACTAACAGCCATCTTGGACCTATAATTTGTGTGATGGTCAGTGGCGGTTAACTTATCAAGACAACCGTTGAAATAAATCGTCGTTTTAACCTCTTGTGATTTTTTGGGGATTACCGTGATTTGGAATAAAGTACAAAAAAAAGTAAATTTCAAAAGCGGTGTTTGGGGTTTCGGGGTTTGTCATGACATGATATTTTTTATATTAGATAATCAAAAAAAAATTAAAAGTAGAAGTATATTGTGGAAAAGAGATAGCCATACAATACTAAAATAATTGTTATCTCGTTCTATATGACGTACCTATTAAGTTTGTAGTCTGCAACAAGGTGGATGTATTCTATTCTGTTTTCGGCGGTTACTGCTATATTCGCGCCACCCGGTTTCAGTTCTTCTATCTATAAATCAAAATTGCATAAGACTTTGGCCAAATAAAAATAAAAATTCCAAATCTCGACAGCACCTCTTAATTAGTTATAGTACTCTCTCTCTCCTCTGTAGTTAAATTAGGCTTGAATCCCGGGAGAAAAATGCTAAGGTCGGGCAGAGCAAGGTCTGATCAACTACTTACTACTTACTTGTAAATAAAACAGATCAGCGAAACGGACAGAGAAATATGTTTGCCCTATGCCCCACGAAGGGAAACGAGATTTCCCTACAAGTCTTTCATTAAGACCACCAGTCCTGTCTTCCCTCGTCTATCATATAAAGTTGTCAGAGAAGGACAGACTATCTTTTTGATACAAATAATTTCCGAATGTAAATAATACAACGTTTTGTTTAGAGAAACAGACGAAAATTAAATTTGTCTTTAATCCCAAACTTGATTAGACTATACTCACCCTCTGTTCACCCAGCTCATCACTAACAATAGTGAAGTCCAGACCCAAATCAGGCACGTCCTCCCAGCGGTGGGATTTCAGCAGCAACAGACCTCTGTACAGACCAGGATCCAGCGACGCAAGCGCATGTACATCCGGCTCACGAGACGAACACAATTTGGCTAAGAAAAACTCCGCTAGAGGTAATTCTACTAAGAGATTTTCGTACAACGCCTGTAAAATATATATTTATCTTGATTAATGATGAGTTCAAATATTCTTACCCTAACCAAAAAAAAAAACATTTGACATTTTTGTTTAGGAAAATTTTCTTTACATAATTTTTGTTTGGATAGGTGTTACTTACTTTTCTCCTAAAAACAAGGTTAAGCTAACCCTCTTTTATTAAGTAAAACAATATATATAATACTTTGAAATACACTACATTAGTTATATTTATAAATAAATTTAATTACCTTTCCCAACATTCGCCCAATGAAGTAATAGTGCATAGGGAAATCGTCGTACAATAAATGAACACCAGGATTTGGGTACAGCATGTTGTCCTTTGTTAGCCGAAACAAACCACGATTTGGATCGAAGGCAGACCTACAAAGACAAAGATACTTTAAAATAAAGAAAGTCAGAGTATCTTTGAATAAAGAGATTTGTGCGATGAAATAGACATAATAATATACAAGTACAAGGTTCTAGGGAAATTTCCGATCACCCCTACTACACAACTTTTTCTAGCCATTCTTTTTTCAACGCTGTCGAAAAATTTAGTTAAAGATAAACTTTTTTTAAAGAAATCTATATGAGTATTATAAAGCTGACGAGTTTGTTTGAACGCACTAATCTCAGGATTTACTGGTTCGAATAGAAAAAAATCTTTTCGTGTTTGTTGAACCATTTATAGAGAAAGGCTCGGGAATATAAAACATCAGGCTACGACCAATAGGAGAGATAAAACACAGGGAAATGTGGAAAAACGGGGATAAATCTTAAAGGTTTGCGTGCGCTGCGAAAACTGTTATCTTACAAGAACCGTTTTTATGGTAACGAAATTTCAGTCGGCTAGTATATATGTAGTTGTAGTAAAAAGTACACTTACTTTAATAACTCAGATAAAAACTCCCTAAACAGACCACCACCGTCAACACCCGGTTCTTCAGCACCAGCTTGGTTTATCAATTGCACTCGGAGTTTTAGCTTTAAATTCGGTTCTGAAAAAAAAACATTTCAAATTATTTTATTAAAAAAATAACAAAATTCAAATTAATTTATTGAATAAAACAAGTGGTTGAAATTACATTGAGCGAGAGGAACATTTTGAAAAAATTCGACGATGATGTGTAGGACTCGGTAGCTTAATTGGTTAAAGCCCAGCTCAGAACGCTATGGTTGCCGGTTCAAGTCATGCCCGTGTCGTAATTTTCTTCAATTTATATAACATACATGTGAAATAAAATAAAATTTTCAAACAAGTTAGGTATTAAAAAGTTCTTATACAAACCATTTTCAGGTCTTAGTTTATCAAACGCGTCTTCGTAAAGGTGAGTCCGTCTGACGCTGATGATGATCGACGGCCCTTCATTGAAATTCGTCATTTCATACCAATGATCCGTTTTCTCCCTGAAAGAAAACAGAATACAGTGTTTTAACGCAACACCCCCCCCCCCCCCCCTCAGTTTTTTCTTCGTATTATTGTTAAAGGAAAAAATAAGTTTAGTTATTAGGCAACCTCTCTGTACCTACAAACTCGTCGAAACTTTAACTATATAACGCACTTTTAAAAAGTAATCTGAACATTTAGGGTTGTTATAAGCAAGTTAAATGTTTATACCTGAGTAGCAAGCCTTGAAAAATGAGTACCCTAGTTGAAAACGGGACGACAAACGGTATTTCCCTCAATATGGTGACTGTCCTTAGTTCCTTTATTGTTAAAGGTGGCCCTTCCTCTGAAAATTTAAATGAATACATTTAGTTAAAAGCATGTTAAGGTTCATATATATGTTATATGATAACTCAAACAATAAGTTACGGGTTATTTAAATATGTATGTATATGAGACATTTTAAATATGTATTATTTCTTAACTACAGCTAAATAGCTCGAACTGGGGGTTATAAAACTGTATTTATTGAAATTCACTGTATGGACTTCATCAGGTGACGTTAGACGTTCTTTGAAGCAATCGAAGCCTTACGGAATTTATACCTTCTTTTTGATCACTTATAGTCCAATTTGACATCAAGATATAAGATTGAGCTATCTGGAAGATTTCTTAAAATCAATCGTCCATATCCTAAGAACGAGGAAACTTATTTTTATATATAAAGATATTTTACCACCAAAAGTGTAAAATGAATCAATTTCTCATGTTACCTTGCTCCGTAGGTGCAAGGTGAGCGAGGTGAGCCCGATATGTACGCCGATGTCGTCCTCTGACAGCCAAGGACGCGGCCGTACCATCTGCAGGAGCTGGGGGTACGCCCACTGCACCTGGCGACGCCCACGACACACCCCCCGTGAACTGAAGTCTGCTATCCCGAGCGTAAAGCGCACGAAGGAGTTGCGTACATACCTGTATTTATTTAATTTTTTTTTATATAGAGGGGGACAGATAAACATTGGGGTTCACTCGATGGGAGGTGATATACCCCAGCCATATAACATCTAAGCAAGATGTGCTATCGACCTATTGTGGCTTTGAATATTTGGGAATCCACAGACTGAAACCGAAGCGCGATTAAACTTTGTGGCTTTTTCAAGTCGTGACCCGGACGGAATTCGATATTCCTACCACCTAGTTATTATCCAGATATCCAACATATATCAAAAATTTACATTGGATAATTAGAAGCCTGAAGTAGAGAACTAAGTGATTTGAGTTGATTTTTTAACTTCTTCATCTTCATCTTATTTTATCATATACCTTAAAGAGATGTGTCCAAGCAGGTGTTAAATTCTTTTGAGACACATCTGTGGTAGTGCCAACAGCATCCTTGTACTGGCCAACTATAGACGGCCGTGATTCGGGATACACTAACTCCACAAGCCCAAGGCATACTTGCTTCAGCGTCCGACAGAGCCCGCTCAACTCGGAAAAGTCGAAGGCATGCGTACGACCAGTTGATGAAGAATTAGATGTATTTGGCACTGGAAATATTATCATTAAGTTAGGAGAAATATTATTTTATATGTGAAATGATAACGATTTCGGAATAGTAAGAACTCATGGGGTATCTATGAAACTAAAACATAGGTACACTAAAATATTATTTCTATTCTTATACCTACCATATATTTTATCATCTCCCTCTGTATCCCTGAAGAACTCCGTATCATGCAAAGTTCCAATCAACAGTGTGAATAATGCACAGAATACAGCAAGCGGTGCTAGTAACCTATGCACTCCTATTGCTGATGTATCCATTCCCATGCCGCGAGATAGCGCTGATATCAACGGAGTATTCGTTCCACCAAACGAAGACTCGTGCGTCATACCCGTTAACCATTGCCACAAACCACGGAGGAACAGCGGTTTAAACGCTAGAGTATATAATAACCTAAAAGATTTAAAAACAGTAAAAATATATTGTCAAGTCTATTATTTATTACTTTTATTTTTTTGTATTTTGGTCCTTTGAGCCAGATTAAACAGCGAATTATGGATTTTAGAAACATACTACTTCTCTTGTGTTTTATAATAGATCCTAAATTCAAAAACAAAGTTAAGTAAATACTTGTTTCTATATTTAAGGTTTTCGCACACGTAATTTAATAAGAACTGAGAACAATCGATGCCTAAATAAAGTTATCTCTTCCAGGCAACCCGAAAAGAAATAAGATATGCAAAAGTTATGAATTATTCATATATTTTAATAGGAAACATATCATAACCCGGCATTAAATTTATATAAATCGTTTTATTATAAACATTTAAGTATCTTACCTGTATTTATGCAACGCAATTCGATGGCTCAACAACAGATTATGGCAAATCTGAGACAAATAATCCAAAAAGTCATCGCTCAAATCGGTTTCCACAATTTGAGCACATGTCTTCATGACACAGCGATCCGGCTCGTTCAACGTCTCAACACATTTTGTCAAAAGATTTTGTTCCCTAACTGAAGTGGGATTAGGTTCATTTTCGCTATCACTGTCGTCGTCGTCGTTGTCAGCAGCTGTTTCTTGGCTGTACAAGGAGTCTTCATACTCATATTTGATCTGCTTGTTGCATGCATTAACCGTTAGCTTGGCTAATATCCTTAAGTAGTTGAGTACTATTCGATTAAGTGGCAGTCTTGTGTGGTCTAATTTTCTTACGTCATTTACTAAAAATACAATTAAAAATTGGTTTAACATCAAACAAATGAAAATTGGTACTAAAACAAGAATTACACCTTACTATAATATATTAGTATATTTCTTATCAGAAAGAAAGAGATTTGATGTTTAACTTGTATTTACCGCATCTATTTTTTATATAATGTTAATTAAGTTTAGTCTATTAAAATAAGGCCATCTTCTGTACATTACTATTAAAAATAATAAATAAATAAAATAAAATATACTTTATTCTATGCAACATTATTCAAATTATTTAGATTCGTCAAAAAAATATTAAATAATATGTTTGTCTGTCCGTTCGTCGTGATTCTACAGACTACTATTACACACCTACTACTATTACTACTATTTACACTAGTACGTCCTATTTTTTTTTACTTATATTTTGTAATCTTCCCCTTTTGTAACAAAGAATGACAGGCAAATGGGTTTATTTGGGACATACCCCTCACATATATTAAAATAAAGCAAATTTTAATAAAGCATTCTGGTTACTTACCAAATCCAGAAGGTTCCAACATGAGTACAGAATGCAGAAGCCATGAGTCATTAATGAGCCTCCCATCGCTGTACTTGGCATCTTCTTGCAAGCAATGTATTAAAGCAACAAATGGAAAACGTTTACTGACGTCACTAGCCAGAGCTGGTAATATGAACATTTCCACTGGCTCGGGATATGGATTGCAGAGGAATGCTGAGGTGAATTCTGTCATAATTATATCACTAGAATAGAAAAGTAAGCAGTTAACCAATTATTATATTAAATACTTTTGCAAAATATATTAGTTTATAAAAGATCCAGCCATCTTGTTGAGTCAAAAGCAAACTGTTTATTCAATCAATAACAATTACAATATAATAATAATAATAATATAACAGTTTATTTATTTTATCACTACAACCTAAACTATAAAATGACCTGAGGTGCGATCTTCACAGACGGGAGTCTAACCCATTAAAGTATATTATAAATAAATAAAAAATATATGTTGCATATTCGGTAACTACTGACACGACTTACTCATATTCAGGTACATTTACTCGACTAGTCAAACATAGTGGTCTCTGCATTAAATCCAATAAAGCTCCGCATAGAGGTGTTGGTGGATTCGGAGAAGGGCCGTAAAGGGGAGGTGTTCTTCTAGATATTAATTGCCGTAGTTCTACGAAGTAACCTAAAAATGTATTGATAATATAATACATTTCACATGTTAAGAATAACTAAATCATTACACAAGAGGGCTTATATAATTTTAAAAAGATGACAGCAATGTCGTACACTGTTGATCATAGGTTGAAATCCTAACTCATAATATATTTTTAATATTGTGAAATTTGGAAATGGAAAATCAGTTTATTAATATTATAAAGTACATTTCAAGCAATTTTGATTTAATGTTCCTATTTATTTTAGTTTTTTTTTCTCCCTACATGCCAAAACTTAAACACCCATCCAAAATGATTTTAATAACAAACATTGCTTCATATTAATAATAATAAATTAAAAACTAACCTCTTTTAACAAGATATAAAAATGTACGTCCAACAATATTAATAGCATCCTCCTGCTTCATTACTTTACTGACTGAGTTAGTTGATGTGAACACTTCAAACATCCTCAGAGGAACAGCCAGTGGTACCTTAATAAATAAAACAATACTGTTATATTATTCATTGGACAGACCTGAATCTTGTAGAACTGACTTTCTGGTAATATGGTGGTATGTTACTGGCATCAATTAATTTTTTGATTCTATTAAAAACTCACAAGAAGTACAAACGGACAACAAAGTATCTGTTTGACATGACATCTGTATTCTTTTATATTTTTATTATTAATATTATAAAAATAAATTAGTTTGTATACCTCTGAATCATCCCTTAACAATTGTAAATGCAATGATAGTAACCTCCTTAACTGAATAGATGAACTGTCACTTAGGAATACATTTTGCCATTGTTTTAGCAAAATCTGAGATATGGCAACCTGAAATAAGACATACAATACTTTAAATAAATAAATTTTGAAGATGGTACATGGATCATGCTGCTTTTGTATAGCAAAGTCTAATAGATATAGCCTGTAGGAAAAAGGGCTTTTACAAGAAAAAGCGTATTTAATTAATATTAGAGTTGCTGGAAAGTTTGGAGCAATCTTAGATCTCTGCTTTTATAAAAGATACACATTCAGTAAAATATGTGATTCAGGCAAGATACTGCACTAGACACAAAATATTTCAGCAAAGTAAGTAAATATAAACATACCAATCTATTACTGTCTGTTTTGTGGTCATAAAAAAACAGTATTTTGCCAACTAGAACCGACAGTATTGCTTGATCTAAGTTAGCTATTTGTGAGAAAAGGTTATCAAAGCTTTGCCTTTCATTTTGTTTACAATGCTTTCTAGTCAGGTAACTTCTTACATAAGCTTGAATTTTTATCGTACTGATTAGTCTTCTACGGTGTTCCTGTAAATGACAAAAATATGTTTAGCAAGACTTTCATTCATATTTACGGGATAACAGGATAAAGACTAACAACACAGTTAATAAAATTGACACTAAACTATTAAATAGTAATGTCTCAATTAAAACCCCTATAAATATCAATATATTATCAACTCCCTAAAAATTTGATACCCATTGTGTTTTTTTTAGAAGTTTATTATACAAAGAAGGCAACACTATCTTTATATTTTAAATAGATTGGCAGGTGTATGAATATAAGAAAATCAACATTATCACATGTCTAAAACGAAAAATTACATGAAAATTATATATGTTGTAATCAACAAATAATATATATCATATAAGAATACTATAAAGCTAACACATTGGTATAACCAGTAAACAAGGACTGAGAAAGATTTTTCGTATTTTATTTTATTATTCTGCTTTCCAGATTACCTCACGTTTCTGTCGCTGTAGCTGTGATTGATGTATAAGTCCATCTCTATCAGTCTTCCGCTGAGCACTAGCACCGGCTAGATTCTGTTGAGGCTTTCGTCTAAAGTCACCCTCGAACGAATACATAATATCAAAATTTATAAACAATCACCTCCAGTACATTGAGGCAATGTATTACGATGGTATTACAATGCAAAAACACTTTCCAATAAAACACAATCAAAAAAGTCCAAAAGTATTTTACACGTTAGCTAATATTTAGCTATTTTATACAAGACAATGTAAATTTACCGTTATTATTTGCTCAAAATAGTAATAATAATTAATTATCTTTTTGGAAATTTACAAAAACAGATATTCGACGACGATATACGACAATAGACAGTGATATTTATTTTTTGATAGTACGAATGTCAACGTTTAAATGAAAACGGTATTTGACAATTGACTAGCATGATTTTAATAATGGATTATTAAAGAACCTTGTAATAAAATATTCATTTCATTTTTAATAGATATTTATTTAAGTTATACAAGTATATAAATTAACATTATGAATCCTTCTGGACCAAGTGAGTTTTATTTGTAACTCCAAAGTGGCAACATTAAAAAGTGACTCAACTTGATCACGTGACCGCTTCGCATAGCTTGGGTTTACAATTTTACAGGTTGGAAAGAATTCAAAGTGTTCGCTTGTCTGCAGTATTTTAGTGAAGTGGAATTGTTTCCGCGGTAATTTTGTAAAGAGTGACTGAAAAAAAGCGATCACAATGTCTACGAAATCGAAAAAGACCGTATCTTCGTCCTCAAACATAAGTGTTGTGTCGTCAGTGCAGAGTCCCCCACAATCGAGCACTCCTGTTGGTAGCCGCCCTTCTAGTTCAGCCGGCAGGCCAAGCAGCCCTTTAAGCCCTACTAGGCACAGTCGTCTACAGGAAAAGGAAAATTTACAAAACCTAAATGACCGCCTTGCCGCCTACATCGACAAAGTTCGCCAGCTCGAGAGCGAAAACTCGGGGCTGCGCCGTGAAATACAAACCACACAGGAGGTGGTCACACGCGAGGTTTCTAACATAAAGGGCATGTATGAGCATGAACTGCAGGACGCCAGGAAGCTCCTAGATGATACGTCCCGTGAGAAAGCCAAGTTAGAGATCGATTTAAAGAGACTGTACGAAGAAAACGATGATCTAATTAAACGGTGAGTAGTTTTAAATTTAGAGTGAAAGACGTAAAATAGAGTTTAAATAATCGTCATTAACTGTTTAGCCATGTATTTGAGAATATAGGTAACCTATTTTCGTAGAATATCTTCCGGATAACCTTAGCATAGTTTACGTCATCGGCGGCATTTCGTTTGGGCACGCAATACGAACGCGAGCGACCGGCGACCTCGCCTTTACGACATAGTGACATCATATCTCGATATATCAATCCAATTATAGTGCAGTTCCTATCCGTTTGCTTCTTAACACTAGTAATAACTGTTATAAGTTGTTTGTAAACAACCTAACTATTAGCAAATAATATTTTCTGCTGTTAATATATCATCATCTGGTTAATTATAGTACAGTATGTGGTCTCCTTTAAAACTGGGGTATTAAATAACAGCACACTTGTATTCCATAAATTTGTAAACATAATCTTATATAAACACGGAAAATTGAAAAGTGACCCAATTCTCTATCTAATTCAGTCAAGGTTCTGATGTTTTTACATGTTTGACATCAGTATTAATCAATACTCAAATTTGAATAAAAACTTTATATAACTATACATATGTTTCAAAAAGTAAAAACAAAAATAAAATAAATTTATCAAATTATTATCTTACTCTTTAGTCATCTCTTAAAATAAAACTAATTGTTTTTGTCTCCAACATATTATCTTTTCCAATGAGGTTGACGGCCATGAGGTCTATGTCACTATATCACCTTCAAGGGTCCCCCTCACATATAGCCTTGTTGCTTCAATAAAAGAAGTATTGAATTCAAGTTAACATGACATCATTTAATGGTTTTATTAAAAATAAGTTTAAAAAAGAGATGGCTCAAGCAACCCATATACCATGGATATTAGTTAAGAAAAGCAAACATAGAAATATGTACATGTTAGAAAACTTTATTATTTTTTACATGTTTTTACATGAAGGCACTGTCTATATAATTTGAAAATTGAAAAAAAAAAATCGACTCGGGCAGGACTTGATTTGGCATTGTCAGTGTTTCATGATGTTGCTCTACCAATTGAGCTACCATATCACACACTCGGTAGCTCAATTAGACAACTTTTGCTCTATTTTTGGTAATTATGGATTTGTACAAATCTTTTCACATTGCACACACGTGGTGTGGTAAATAATTACATTGTAGAAGTGAAATATTGTTTGATGACCTCTGAGAAGCAATATATATAAGAATAAGTGGGTCTTTTACATTTTCTGGAACTTATTACTTATTTAATAATTTTATAATAAGCTTTGTTTAACTAATAAAGAAATATATTAATATGTATTAACAAAATCTCATTGCTTAATGCTCCACTAGAGCTTGTGTAAGTACATGAACTAAAACTTCTCAGTAAGTAGAAATAACATGACAGGCAGTGATGTCTCCGCCTTGTACTATCATTGGAAAATGCGGCTCGGCATACATAAAATAATGGTATAAGATAAAGAATCACAGAAATACATCATAGAAACGATAATATCATTCTAACTTCTTGCAGTCAAACTCAAAAACGATGCTCCTTAAATTTCCGGTCATTATTAATTCGAGTTTACGGCGCGTAAACTTAGACAAACGATGACGTAATACATTTAAACGTGTTTATGACGTGTCCTCCAATAACAACAGTTCTTGAGGTAAATTAATAACAAAGATTTTGCTATCAAACGAGGAATTTATTATTGTTAGTGTGTACTTAGTCATCTACTAAAACTGGAATTAGAATAATTCTTAACTAGGAATTTGTCTCCCACATTGTTTGATTCAATTATTATATTAATAACTGAGTCCAGATCTTTGTAGTTGAATATGGATAGGAAATAATTTATTTTCATTTAACAAAAATATTACGCATTGTAACCTAGGACAATTTAATAACTCAAATTATATGCCATGATTATTATATATCATTGGTTTTTCGGGCTCGACTGGCGTGAGCGAAAAGATTTCTCGACGTTTCGCCATCACGAGCGGACGCCATCATCAGGAGATGTTAGCTACTAGCTTGCTCAAAGAATTAAGCCCGAAAAACAATGAACGATGGACGTGAAAGCCTTACGCAATTTATGATTATAAAAGTTGCTAACAAAAAGTGATATTTTAAAAGAGCCAGAATTAACCAGTGAAATCAAAGATCATCAAAATTTTAACGAATATTATAATCGTATTATAACACCAACCTTGACCTTGGATAGTAATTATTTGCAGTCATCACGTTACCAATGACACCTATGCCGTGTGTGGACAAATCTACTATTTACCGTAAAAATGCCTATATCTACGTAATCATTATAAATATAATGAAAAGGTCAACTTGTATAAGATAAATATCCCGTATTTAGTAGCTCAGTTGTTCAACGTCTTATATAGCATTGTATTAGCAGAGAGGTCATAGATTCGAATGTCGGAAAAACAATATTTTTTTCGATCGACCACAGGAGTCTAATCGGTAATTCCCTATTAATAAAATGGATCATTGAAACGGACATAGAAATGTGTTTGGAATTATAACATACAGCAGTGTGTGCGTGTGTTTGTGTGTGTGACCCTTTATTGCCTAATAATAAGCTAAATTTATTGATGACGGCAGGTGGTCCGTGACGTGTTGAATAAAAATGTCGAATAAGCTATTTTATTTGATGCTGTCATTGTGTACAAATCGGGGCTCCGCTGTTATGATTTTATTTTCTCCGAGGTCGTTAGTGTTATGTTGCATGTTTGTTTTGCCCAGTTACTCAATTATAAGTAAAAACGGGATATTGGAATATGGCTTTTGTCTCTCATGTAAATTTCGGAAATATTTCAAGGAATTTAAATAAAGATTTTATTAATTTATACCTCAAATGTGGAACCCGTATAGGTTTTTATTTTGCGTTTTTGAACTTATATTCAAACACGCAATTCCTATTTTTAAACGGCGTAGTGTATTCACCTTATATAATACAAAATTCGAGTTTGGTAACGTCTTTGATTATAATCATGCGATTACTTAGCAAATTGGTAATACGATATTTCTTACAGTGAATATAATTAACTAATTGAAAAGAAAAATATATGCGATATTCATTAAATATCATTCTCCATTTTAGTTTGGACAAGAAAACGAAGGACTGGCAGCAGGCAGACAACTTGGCGCGCCATTTCGAGACTCGGTTCACGGAAGAGAGCAACAAGTATAACACTGCACTTGCTGATAAGAAGAAGGCTCAAGATGAGGCCAGGGTTAGTGTTTCAAGTATTGGCAACAGACCTTGCAATTTAATAATTATCTTCATACATTTTTTATTTTATTTTATGAAAGTTTAGATCATTTAGTTACCAGACAGAACACTCAAGTTATAATTAATATATTATAAACACATGGGACAAGATGAAATATATACACAACATCTTCAAAGTGTCTTTAATCTTTTAATAACACACTCTGGGGACTTCGCAGACAGAGTCTGAAATTTGCGAAAGACCAGCACCTAGGACGTAACTTTATTTGAAGACAACTCCTATTGTATAGATTCATACTTCGTATAGTTATAACGTCTTGTTTCTTGCTAGGACTTGGCGAAGGAGTTGGAGAAACTTAAGAAGGTGTACGCGGAGACGCGCAAGACTCTTGAAGAGGAGATGCTCTGCCGCATCGACATGGAGAACACAGTGCAAAGTCTTCGCGAAGAACTGTCGTTCAAAGATCAGGTATTCCAGCAAGAGTTGCAGGAGACACGTACCCGAAGACAGGTCGAAATTTCCGAGATAGGTTAGTTCTATCATAGACTACATTTCCTCAATCGTCTTTCTTGCCACCTTTCGCCTCTGTTTCCGAAAAATAACATTAAATTTCGTTCAATAGATGGAAGACTTGCACAACAATATGAAGCCAAACTACAGCAGAGTCTCCAGGAGTTACGTGAGCAACAAGAGGCTAATATCAAGGCCAACCGTGATGAAATTGAAGCTCTCTATGAAAATAAGGTATAAAATACTAATGATGTTTCTGAGACCGTAGCGTAAGTTTACCGTGCTAAGCTTTTGCATAAGTGCAATGGTGTAGTAACTCACAACAGGTTGGTTATATTATACAGTCTATAACGTCCAAAAAGTCCAGGAAAAATTATTTCATGTCTTAACGTTTTCAATGAAAAGTATTAGTCAACGCTTATCGCCATTATCTTATCTTTTATGTTCTATCATTTCTGTGTAATGAACAGTTTCGAATGAATTTATTAAATAATACATAACTTCGTTATCTACTTTCATCATAAATGTCAAACAAGTTTCGAATGAAATATTGAGTTAATTTTGAACAATTGATAAAGTTGTATTATAATTATGTGATGTTATTATATTTCAAAACTACTAACCCAATCCACACTAAATTAAAAGACACGCTTAACAGTAATTAAATAGTTGTACCTATATAAACAAATACATATTTACTTTACAGCTTAAGAACCTACAAGCAGCTGCAAACCGCAACAGCAGCGCGGCGACCGTCGCTGTCGAAGAACTGCGCACCATGCGTACGCGCATCGATAGCCTTAACAACAACTTGAACGATCTTGAAAATAAGAATGCTGCTCTTAGCGTAAGTGTTTTGATTATGAAAAACAAAAATAGAGATTTTTTTAATTTATCTTTGGATTGGTAGACCTTAGTTCTATAATACCTTTATTAATTGTATCCAAGATCAAGAACCGCCAAATCAGCAAAACTTACTTGCACATATAATGATATGTATTAGAACGAACGAATATGTTTTAAAACATACATCAACCTTTTCTCTATAACACTGCCTATTAATTTAAGTAGACAAAATTTTTTGAGTCAAGTTTATCAAGACTTAACTTCAATATTGCCATGTATAGTAATTAATATAAAATGTCTTACTCACATACCACGTAAATATTACTTTGTTTTTTGTCGATCTTTATTTATCAGCTGACAAGGTCTCTATCATAACCAGTTTGCAATACAGAAGTGTTTAAATTCTTTATTTCGATAACGGAATATATTCATTAAAATACCAAAACTACAAAACATGTTTCTTTTTGAAGTAACAAGATCATGTTTTATTTTTAATTGGTGAGTTTTGTTAAGTTTAGGCAATGTCTTTGTGCAAATGTCAAAAATTTTAAAATGAAAAAAAGTACACATCTTAATAATGTAAAGAAAGAGCTTTTGACTACTTACAATCTATGAGCACAGTAATAAGATTAATTAATCTTATTTTTGTTAGTTATTTACTGTTCTGATCAGCTTCTCAATATTGTAATGACTAAACGTAGCTACTTTTTTATTAAAGTAATTTGTTAAAACTAGACTTATACTAAAGCCAAAATAGGTAAAAAACACATCTTGTTAAGATGTTAGATGGCTCGTATTTGTCCTATCAGCAAGTGAACCATGCTTGTCTGTCCTCTATCACTAAAGAAAGCTCAATAACTTACAGTATTTAATTTCTTACATAGAACCGTTGCCGTGAATTGGAACGCCAATTGGAGTCTGAACGCGCCCGTCATGCTGAGGATCTGGCATCCTTGGAGCAGGAACTGGCTCGGCTTCGCGATGAGATGGCAGCCCAACTGCGAGAGTACGCCACCCTCATGGATATTAAGATATCTCTTGACCACGAGATCGCCACTTATCGTACTCTCCTTGAAGGAGAAGAAGACAGGTAATTTTTTTTTTTTTTTATACATGGTGTTACAACTACTTAAGTAAAAGAATGAAACCTCTCTATTAGTCTAGCCCTTTCCTTGTAAACTTACCTATTTTTCACATAGTGGCATTATATACATTAAAAACCTACTTAGACAGGAAAAAATAACGACGCGGTTGGGACTTGAATCGACATCCAAATGAGCTATCGTTTCGGTTTTGATTAGAACAGCAGTACGGATCGCTCTGATGGTGGTTAAAGTCGCGCTTCTTCGTCAAATTTTATTAATCAATATAGATTCAAACCTTTAATTATTTTACTAACACTCATAACTGAAACATAAATATTCAAATAAATAAGCATACCATTTCATTTTTTAATAATGACTATAATTTATTGCAGATTGAACATAACGGCACAGTCGCCCGGTCGCGACTCCCGCGCTTCCATGAGCGCAAGCGTGAGCGGCAGCGGACGCGTGACGCCCGGTCGTAGAGCCACGCCCCTCCGCGCTGCACGCAAGCGCACTCTACTCGATGAGAGCGAAGAGCGTAGTCTTCAAGACTTCAGTGTCACATCCTCTGCTAAGGGCGATATCGAGGTAGCCGAAGCGTGCCCCGATGGCTCTTTTGTTAAAATCCGGAATAAGGGGAAGAAGGTAAGGCCTGTCAATTGAGTTATTTATTTTCGTTTATATTAATATTTTTTCTTGTGATAGGATTCCAATTATAAGCATATTATTCATAGCTCTTAAAAATAGAAGTCTCAACAGATTTAAACAATACTCACTTAAACATGCGTTTTTTTGTTCTATAAACAATTAGTTTTATCACTATCAAACTTTCATATTTATTATGAATTGTTTTTAATTTCAATTATTTGGAGTTAATAATTTCTCAAGCAGTATCCATATGTTTATGCCAATGTTTGAGAATCTGAATTGATCAAATTAACCGTCATGACAAAACATGAAAAAATATAGACCCGGCGGAACTTGAACCGGCATCCACAGAACCAATAGAGCTACCACCCTCGTCATCGTCAAATTTCTTCAATCCATCGATACCTCTCGCACAATATAATTTAACTAATATTTACGTATTGTCAAGACATTTTTATTGCTGTTAACAGGAACAAAGCATCGGTGGATACCAGATTGTTCGCAAAGCCGGCGACCAAGAGACCCTATTCAAGTTTCACCGCACGGTGAAGTTGGAGCCTGGCGCGATAGCGACCGTATGGTCGGCTGACGTCGGCGCTGACCACGACCCGCCCAGGGATATCGTTATGAAAGGCCAGAAGTGGTTCGTCGCCGACACGTTTTCGACAACGCTGTTGAACAATGAACAAGAGGTGACTGGTTTGCTCATGTATTTTGTAAATAATGTACAATATATACGCAAATAGATATATCTGTGTCTGTTTCACTGTACTGTATTACACTGATTTTAATTACAGGCAAGTAGGTGGGAATTACGTGTCCTTCTCAATGTTTTGATAACTTGGCAACTTATTTCACACAGTTATTTCGTACATTTCTGGGTCAAGGGACATTAGGGAACAAATTATTCAAATGTTAGCCGCAATAAACACAAAGCAGTATATCTTACCAGTGTTAAATGTTTAGGAAATTGCGACGTCAGAGAGACAGCGACGGCAAGTAAGCACGAGCGCACAAAGACACCGTGAGCTCGCCCACAAGTTCCCACGACGTGAAGGAGTATGTATAACAACTTATGCTGTGTGCTTATCATCAATGTGTTATATAATATGTCACAAAACACTGTATTTTCTACAATCTATGGAATTCTTCTTATTGTGTGTACACAGAGTAAAAAACTTATACACTTAACTTGTTATAATTATTCATCTTTAAAGTTTTGATAACTCCTAAAACTACTAAAACGAATATAAGATACAATCTTAGAACAATACTTTGCTTCTAATACAGGCTTTATTTTATCAACACATACTTTTTACGAAAACAGTGTTGTCTCTTTCCCTCGATTCCCTACATCACGACTTAAAACAAAACAAACTACAATCTTTCGCCAATCACGCGCAATTCATATTACCCTTAATAAGTGGAGGCGATTAAAATTCTAATTCACCCATTTCATTTTCCAGCTCGGTGAGATACGCGAAGGAGAAGAGAACTGCCGTATAATGTAACACATGCTGAGCACTCCAGAGCATTTGACGTGAGATAACGGTGCCTCCACATTACAAGGATGTTCACGACCTTTAGATATAGCGTGGGAAGAACTTCCACACTTGAAATGTAACAAAACCTTAGAGTGCTTAAATTTAGCACCATATAGTGAATTTGACGTTCTCTTGATGTCGAAATCGGATTGCCACCAGTTAATCGAAAAAGCGCGATAGGTGGCGCCGGCCTACAGACAATTTTTGTCTCTTTTCGTAATGAAAAAATGTTCAAGTGTCATGTTTAATACTGTCTAGGAATACAAATAAACACGAACCACAGTGTTTTATAAAATAAATTGTCTGTCCTATCCCTGTGTGTAACAGAGTAAATACTTTTAACTTATTTTTCACTCAGTTCAAAAGGCCTTAAACCATTTACGATGTACCTATCGTGCTTTTTCTCGTCATACAGAAAATAGTCTGACTATTTCTCAATACATCACTTAAGATTATAACTTTCCACTTAAAGTTAATTAAGATGCACTGCCATATTTGGCTTCCTCACGTTAGCTCAGTGAACAAAGTACAAAGAGTTGTAGTTCACTTTTGCATTGGTAAGTATAGAATATATTTTATAATACAATTTCAGATTCCCACCCATTTGCACTATAAAGCGATCATGTATCATGTAGCTATTACTAATTAGGGTCGTTCAAGTATTCCGTTAGCACTGTGTGAGTGTGGAGGTTTATTTTTGCTGGTCTTGGTGATGGAAGGCCCAATTATAAAATTTTATTTTATACTATTCATAGTTTTGAATCCACAGTTAAAATTAATAATATTATTGTCCTCTATACTAAGCCTATTTTATCTATATGTTTTGAACCAGCATAAAAAGGTACTAGTTTATGTAAGCAGGGTTTATTAATTGTAATCAAAAATAGTTTGCCTACGAAACATTTGAACGACACCTAGCGCAGCGGTTCGTAGATATAATCTACTAAATTGTCATAAACATTAGGAGCTATTGACTAGAATAATGTTTTTAGTTTGTAAGTTTAAGCTGACCGTAGCACCGGTTGTCAATTTAGAATAAGACATATTTTTTCACATTATCAGAATAGAACTTTTTGTTTGTATAGAAATCGGGTGCAAGTCTCAAACGTCCTTATGACCCTATTGGGTCGCCTGACAAGCTGTCAACTTTTAGATAACAATTATTTTTTATCTTTAAGTACTGCTGTGTTAGCCTATGTTTTGACAGATTGGCGATCATGTATGGTCATAAAGAATCATTATTTAATACCTAGTAATTGATGTTAAGAGTTTCTATATTCTAGGACATACCTTTAAAACCGCTATATCATATTACATTAAGAATTATGAATTTCCCAGCCAAAAATATTGCATAGATACTTGTCCTAGAATATGAATCTTAGATAACTAACAGACAGCATTTAATTCATCAATGTGGGTTATGTGGTAATTTAATTTTTTTATTAATTTAACTTTAAGGAAACAGTAAATACGTATTTTGATTTTTTATGTTAAGAGGAGTGAATCTTTTTTTTTTAACCTATATTCAGTTTAAATTAACTATGTATGATCAAAGAGAAAAATTATGATTGTAACATTTTGTGCAAATTACATTTAAAAATAAATTTATATTAGGTTTATTTTATTGTGACTTTTATTTTTTTTCCCCACAACACATTAACCATAATAATGAACAAATAAATATGTAGTTATAATGTATCTTTTTTTTTATTATAAAAGCCATTCATCTCATGATTAGTCAGTTATGTTATAATGTATCATTGTAGCATTGAAAATGCTAGAAGTCTGGTACCGCCATTATTATCATATATTTAAAAAACAATTATTTTGAAAGTGTTGAATATTCATGCTTTTATCATAATATATCGTTATTCGTTTGTTGCCCGATTCAGCGAGGCAGACATTTTGCTACATACCCTGTGGATTTTTATTATCTATCTTCACCAGCGTATCCCATGACAGCTGTCATAAATATGACATTGATTTGTTTATAAATTTATAAAACGGGAGTAATAAGGGGTTTTATCAATAATTACTTGGCCATTCAATAATTTATATAAGTAATGAGGCATTAGTATTAAGTATTTATTTATAAGTAAATCGAAAAGCTCACGACGAAAAAAATTAACAAGAATATTAGTGACAGTAATATTAGTAAGTAAACGCATTTTAGAGAGTAGAGCTTACCAAGTGTAATTTTATAATGAGGTAGACTTTACTTAGCTTTTCGAATCATTAATTGATTAATCTAGGTTTTGGGTACAGTTTAAGAAAATTAAGGTAAACTTAAAGCTAAACAAAGTAACTAAAAATGAATCTTAGTATTAGACCTTATGTAGCAAACTGTTAAGTGTTTGAGATAATGTTGAAAAGTGAATTGCTTAAGATCAACATTACTGTGTATAGGTACAAACTATGCCCGTGATAAATAAGGTTTTCTATTGTAAATAAATAACAAGCAGTTTTATCTATTGTCTTTTAACAACAAATAACTTACATAAAAATTTTGCAAAAAAGTTTTTTGATAACAAGCAGCATAATTGTTGTTTATAATTAACCAAGATTGTTTAATATAAAATGTCTGAAATTTAGTGTTGTTTTGCATTGCTAAAATAATATAATTCTATGATTCATACCTACATTATGTACATTTTAAAACTTTAATATAAATAAACTTAAAAATCTGTTGCTAGTATAAGCTTTCACCATTGTTATACCAATTGTGTTTAACATGGTAGGTTCCTGGTTTGAATCCTAGAAAAATGAAATATCTATGTTTAAATATATATTTCAGAATAAATATGCATGCTTATATCTCTATTATGTTTATATTTCTATATAAGAAGAAATTAACGCCTTGTGCGTTTTTAATATCAATTTCACAATACTAGTCATTAATCTAACGACATAAGGTACAAAGATTCTTTAGTCATCATAGGGTTCAGAAACAATTTAAGCGTAGATATACTATATACATTTGTAATGCGATTCTCTCTGATCGGAAACCGTCTTATAGTTCCTAATGATAATTTATTCAAGACGATAAAGTTGACGCATCCGGATTGATCAGGCGCGGTTTTCCCGCCTTGACCTGAGTGGGCGTAACGGCGCAATAGGTCACGAGGGAGGATTGCGCGGGGTATGTTTGGACGGGCGTAGTAGCGTAATGACGTCAGTGACGCGCTGTATCGACCCCCTACGAGCCGTCACAACACCCCTGTCCCCCGCCACTGACAGTCCCCATCCCCCCCTACCGCCTACGTTTACGGCAACGTGAATTGTAACTTTTCAATGTTCATTAAACTACGCAAAACATTCCAGAAGCAGTATATGTTCAATTCTACACATTCAATGTCTTTTTGTATCATAGTGTATAATGAATAATTTTACGAGAGATAGTTTGGTTATTAAAGTAGTTATACACCATGCTTCTTTATGATTAGACAAATTATGCAATATTACTATAAATATTACTGTCAATATTTATAGTAATATATGTCAAAATGTCAATAAAACAATTTAACAGTTCAAAACGCGATATATTAGTTAACCAGTCTCCCCGTGACCACGGCTGCTGCCAAGCATCCGAAAGTTCTGGCCGAAGTAAAAAAACATTTTCAAATAAGTTTAAATTATACACTACTTAATTTTCTCCTCCAGTGTCTTATTTCGGAATTTCCTCTTCATTTTCAGCGATTTCTATACGTTCACTTAATATATGGACAAAGTTGTGCAATGCATGACTTGCAAAATAGGGAATTGTTTTGATGGTGTCTAAAGTACTAAGCGAAAATTTCTTACGCATATATATTTATATAAATATGTCCAAAAACAAAGTATGGAGACAAGATAATTAATAAAATGATGAGTGCACATTTTACAATTTATTCATAAAATGCTGACGAGACCTAGGATGACTTGCCCTAAAACCCCTCCCAAATTAACAATTATTGCGTAATGTCTAAGTAAATTTCACTCATATAATATAGAGAGACACGTAATATAAATAAATAACTTCTTTATCAAAAAAATCTTGATAAGTTTTGTTATTGTAATTTGATTAGCGGAACGTTCAGAAAAATAACGAGTCGAAAGGTCGAAACAGCATGTAAACATTGACACACGACCTGTGTTTGCTCGATATTGTTGTTCTATGTACTCTATCACTGTCAACGCGAGGCTACAATTCATGGGTACACCAAAGTCAACAGCGGTACCAACAAATGCGCAGTTTCGGCAATGGGGCGGAATTTTCCTCATTTCCAAAGACCTTGACCTACTTTCCAATTCCACCTGAAATTTGAATTATAGATTGATCTTTTTGTTTACAGTACCTACTTAGTACATTCTATAGTCAAGTAATACGCCAAATTAATCAATATTAACACTGAACTTAATGGTGCTTGTAAATATTTCTTACGTTATAACTGATCATTTTTTTTACAGCATTTACGAAATATCAAAACACAGGAAGCATGAGTTCAAATAACAGTAATGCAAATCCCCTAAAACATTTTAAGAAGATACCAATTTACATAGTAGAAGAACACAACGACGCCTTACAATTCATATATTCAGCGATCGGTGGAAAAAAATTGCCAATAGAAGGAACGAGTCTCGTGCATCTTGACGCGCATCCAGACATGCTTATCGATCGTAAATTAAAAGGAGAGGAGGCGAGGGCAGGAAGAAAAGTCTTGCAATCATTACAGATAGAAAATTGGATTGTGCCCGCCGTGGCCGCGGGGCACATAGGAAGCGTGGTCTGGATCAGACCACCGTGGGCGAATCAATTTACCGACGGATCACGTTTAATTCAAGTCGGAGACCACCCCGCCACGGGCTTTCTCCGTGTAGATAGCAAAGAACCCTATTATTTATCCGACGCTCTGTATTCGTCACGGCTGGTGAACAAAAGAAAGTTTAGATTAACCGTCGCCGAGTTAAGTCCTAGTACGGATTCTGTACAGCAGTTGTGCAACCGGCTCGATATAAACACCCCTTTCGTGCTCGATATCGATTTGGACTTCTTTAGTACGGCTAATCCATTTTTAAACATTTACGAGGGTATAGGTCTGTACGATTTGCTGGAAGATATATTCAAATTTGATCCGCCAGAGAGCGATGACCCAGAAACGTTGGAGAAACTCGTAATGTCGCGGGAAGAACAGCTGCAACAATTAGAAGACTTATTCCTGCATTTAGAAGAATATGGGAATTTAGACAATTATGCTGGCGAGAAATCTATCTATTTTAAAAAGGTAAATCTCACTGAATACTGCTTTAAAAAGTATATACACAATTTTGATATTTCTAACATTTCCCCAGGTGTCAGCTTTGGTTCCAATAGTTTTGAAAGAAGCCACACGCTTAGGCCAATCACCGGACTGGTGGGCAATCTTTGCCGGAGGCTGCACAAGAGATCAAGGCGGACTACCTCACCATATCAGCTCCGAGGAATTAATTACGGAGACAATTGGAAAAACTCTTAAATCATTCCTACAGAATCTCCCAAAACCAGTCATGATAACATTGGCTAGATCGACAGACGATGGTTATTGCCCGTCTCATCAGGTAATTATGTTGGAAATTCTTGCTTCAAGCGTTCTTTATGCCATGTTTTCTTTATGTTTTGGAAAGAAGTATTAAGTAGGTTTGCTGTGTTTTATATCTGACACGTAAAAGAAAACCTTGGCATCAACATATCCTAGAAACAAACATGTTTTATGTTGTTAAGGTAAATCCCAGCTACATTGCAGATCTGGGATTTACTCTTAAATGTATAGTAAAGGTAAAACTAACACTGGGGTAAAAATAATGTATCTTTAGAACTATCCTATCCTTTTTGATCAATAAATTAGCTATTATCTGTATATATTTTGTTCACAGGTAGATAATATCCAAAAACAAGTCCTAAACACGTTGCAAGAAATCTACGAAACTGACGATCCCGTTTTCCACTATTTGCATACCAAGTAATACGGCTCATTATCCAAATAAAATGTATTGTTAAAATATCCTGTGTCTGTTATTATAGAACCGTCAAACCCCATTTGCGGCGTCGCTCCGGCGGAGAAGTTAAATTTTTGTGCCAAATGCACTCCCATAACTCTAGTCTAATACGCTTAATGATCAGTTATATTTTACAAGACGATTTTATAGTTACGAAATTTTCCCGCAAATGCAGAATATTGCAAATTTACAACGAGTGTAATGTGCAATTTTGAAATTGTAGTTTTAACGCCACTTCATAAGGGTGGCAATTATTATCGCTATTATTTCCGCGACGATTATATCATAGAGTCTATTTGTGATTGCGATTAGAACGTGTAAATTACGAATCACTTGTAACATAAGTAAATGATTTGTTAAAAGCATTGCGTTAGTGGTAGTTTCTGTCTGGCAGGACCGTCTGTAAACAAAATCGTCAGAAAAAGCACATAGGGACAATGTAATTTCACATTTGGTTTTATAGTCGCGTTGACGGGCTCGTGGGTGTCTTGGTAGCACTGTATCATTAATAATCGACGGGTCGTAGGTTCGTTCCCGCCGGGTCCGTTATGTGTTTAATCAACTTATAATTTTTTTAAACATGTCGATGAAAAGGCCTCGAAATTCAATCGCGTATCGATTTGAGTCATAGATTACGAAATATACAAATCCATAAATAGGTGGACAGCGAATCTCGTTGTGATTTTATACGGCTGGGTTATTTCACCATTCATCGAGTAAACGTCATATTTGTCTGTCCTCGTCAATCATATTAAAAAAACTATTGAAATATACTGGATCCTGGTGCCAAAATATTTTTTACTCTTAGTTCGATCTTCTTCTATTTGCTTTCGTCAAAATATTGATAACTTCAACAGATTAAAAAGAAACAACAAAGTAACGTTACCATGTTAATTCTAATTTTCACATAGCTAACGACGTCAGGGCTGGTGTAAAGTAGCGGGTTGTTAGCGGGAGCCAGTGTCGCCGATTGTCAGGTCAGGTCAATTAGAAGCGAGAACTGGATCACGGACAGCTTCGTTGCAACGTATTAGACGAAGTATTAAAAAATCTTGCTTTTATAGGGTTCCGTGACTGCCTAAATTAATCAAAATTGCACTCGTGGCTTGTTGGTTTCTGGTGTACATTTTTATATTGGTAGCGTTCGAGTCAATAAATCTCATATAATCTCTTATAAGCTAACAAATATTTTTGGCTGTGGAAATCCACAGATTGAAATCGAAATGCACATAATAGCTACACGGCTTTACCATCTGTGGTATTTTGGAATCCGAAAAGAGTCTGGCTGGTGGGAATAAAACCCATTGGTTGATAGCCATACTAAGCTACCAAGGAATGCATCGTTTTAGATACCATATATGTATTATAATTAAAATAAACATCAAGATGAGGATATTAAGTAATAATAATATAAGGTGAACATTATATGTACGTACTTTACGCGAATAATACACATTTAAATAAAACACTTTAAATGGTTTGAAACGTGAAAATATAAGTTATTTTTATTTAAAAGCCCGTTCCGGAATCTTTACAGCAGCCTTAATCACAGTAGGATTGAAGACAAATAAAAGTGTTATTTAAATGCGTAAAGTAATACTTACCATAAGGTATTGTAATTATTTTATTTACCCATATTAGTGTTTCCGCCGGATGATCAGGCTATAGAACCTCCGCCGTAGGCGTAAACAAAACAAAATGAATTTAATCACACATAATATCCAGTATTACTTTTGATTATAACATCATTGATCGGGCAAACAATTTAGTCCTTCGATTGGGGGCGATTGGGGTCAACTGCACATCGAAGAAGCGACGCAGCGTATGATATCTAACGTCGAATTAGTTATTACATCATGCATTGGTCACGTTCGAAAAATTTGCGACCAATTTGATTTAATTAAAGGATATTGGCTCATGTATGGTTGGGATTCCCAGAAGTGGGCCTGTGTAGTTTAATATTATATTTTTTTTATAGGATAGGAGAGGACAGACTAGCTTGAGAGTTCACTTGCAAGGTGCGCTTTCCACTTACTTTGGCGTTGGACATTCGGATATCTACAGACATCCGAAATGCAATCGCATACACGTCACGGTTTTTTCATCTGTGGACGGTGGTTCTGAATACTTTTTTATTACTCATTATGATGCAAGCAGTCAGTACTATTAATTAGGAGTTCAGTAAACAATTTTACGAGCACCATTAATATATAGCTCGTAAAAATTTTATTCTTCACGCAGTATTTACGTAGAATAAAAAAATAATAATAGCGTTACGTCTAATCGCAATAAGTCTTTATGATGTATATTAAATAAAGCAGAAAAGCAGGGTACCAAATTTGTATGGGTGTCGTAACTATACTATGCTCTGTACATATCATTGGATGATTGTGCATTTGCGACACTGCGTTTGCGCATTTTTGGGAGAAAATTTTTATGTCAGTAAAAAACGAAACCGGAAACGAACAGGCAGAAACGTGTGTCGGGTTCAGATCTGTTTTTAATTGAGAAGCAGATGGCGCTAGCGTTGGAGATTTTGAATAAGGGGCACCCCTACCTACTATCTCCGTTATCACGGTAGAAAAGTATTTTAAACATCGGTCGTAGGCAAAATAAAAAAAAATAAGTTTAATGAACACATTTCGTGTTGCAAACCGTTAAAATTGTTTTTAATTTAAAAGCCCTCGAAAACTACTACAATTGTAAACATTGTTTTATTTTTACAATACCATACATAAATAAACTCATTTATATAATACCTGTTTTTCTGCCTTGTAGGAGCGCTGTATTATTTCTATTCTAGGTGTCAGTGGCGCTAACTTGCCTCTGTATAGGCAAGCAATATCGCAATAAATACTTCCCAATTAACGGCTCAAAACTGGGCCTTTTAAGCGCACCCGAAGTACATTACCATGAATCACAACAAACGCCCCCAATGGAAAATTTTCTAGTGCCACAATAATCATAAATAATTAATATCTGACCATTAACTAGATATTATTGTATTTACAAACCTATTGTTATTGCTACCGCGATTTAAAATTACAATTATTTATAAAAAAAAATACAATACTTGTTTACTTTAATTAGAGTTAAAACTTCACGGGTGCTTACTTCTCATTGTGTTAAAAAATATAACAGTTTATTTCAAACGCTTGTCTAGCTTTAATGGGTACTTAAAGGCTATTTAATATTTATTACGTGTCAAGATGAGTTTGATAACGTCGTCGCGATAATGATGCATAATTAGAAAAAACTCCATGTAGACCCAATTATTTTAGTTTTCGGAGAATAAGATCTCTCGAAGGTTCTAGAAAACGAAATAACATTCGATATTCCGTTGTTTCCGTATTTCAAACGTAGGTACGTTTAAACGAAACGCTTTTAACGGTTTCAAACGCAATATTTATTAGTTTACTTATTTTTAATTTATCATAATTACAGTCCGACGTTTTGGATGCGTTGCGGCAGCTGTCGGGAATGAAGATGACGTCGGGCCGTAGTTCAATGAATTCAAATAAGTTAACCAATACTTTTCACGTTTTAAACAGTTGAAAGTGATCTCTTTAAATATAGCTTTTTAAATATATTCGAAACCACAATACTTCTTTTATAGCTTAAACCACTTTATTATACTGAAAGGTAATCTTCACGAATATTCCACAGAAGGGAAAAACGCTAGTTCGCTATTTAATTTTTTTTTGTCAGCTAGGGTTCGAAGCACGTTTCCTTAATAATGACACCAGGAAACCAATAATTAATTGCTATTTAGCTCAGCTTTATTCCAAAGAGCTTGCATGCAATAAATATGCATAGAATCGCATTATATGCAGACAGAGATAATGCAATGCAATTACTAGCTTTAAGCTTAGATAATTATGTTTAAGTAACAGATAATGTGCGGTCGGCTTATTATTATCAACTAATTAGCACATTTTGTTAGCCCGTAAATAGACGCAACATAATTCTTTTTAATTAAGGATTTCTTGTTTTCTATTGTATGTGTGAGTCTATCGTAAATATTGTTACCAGAGCAATATATTTTAGTGAAGCAAAAAGTGAATTAAAAATTCAATTGCTTTACTAATTAATCGCAAAACATTACAACTGGAATGAATATTCTCTCTGGTAGAAAGATTCATTAAGATATGTATTTTAGTATAAAGCTAACTCGTTAAGTTTATCCTTTTATAATTACATTTAATTGTTTAGACAATTGATATCATTTTACAAGGCGCCAAATTTCGTGATTATCTTACTATGCCGTACAGTGCTGGGAATCAACTATGATTCCCTTTACTCACCAAAACCTCTGCTGTTACTAACTTGATACAAACAGAGATTCAATTGTTTCTCTCCAACATAAAAAGCCTATATTTATTTTTAATTTTTCTATGTTACGTTTAATAAACATTGATAAGAGACAAACCGTTTTTCTGCCTACGCAATGCATTGCGTATATAAAAGTTAAATGTGAAAAGAGATTGTTAACAATTGGGTCAAGTAATATAATTTAACGTAGGCTTTTGGGGGCATAATCTCAGACCGAGTGCGGCATGGCAGATGACACATGTCAAGTTCCTCAATCAAAAGCACGCCGGCTCCCTCGCGACGGTGCCTTCGCCTCAGAGTCTAAATCGGCGTGGCAGCGTTTGTTGTGGTGATTGGAGCGTCTCGCTCACACTAGAATCGGGCCCTTTTCCCTCCCGACTGCCCGACCAAAAAAATAAGCACGCGAGAACGGGCGAGCCGCGGGCCGCATTCCTTGACTGGGTCGACGGCACAGCGAGCCCCGCGCGCCGCGCTCCCTTCGCCAGTCTTTTACGCGCGTCGTTCGCGATCGCCCGTCCCTCGTACGCTCTCTATAGCGCGCTGTGTTTAGTGTTTCTGTTATTACACCGCACCGGTGACTTGTGAATGTGACACAGTGTACTGTATGCAATTATACAATAATACAAATATAAAAGTGGTGCGCGAGGAGACAGCCACGGCACGCGCCGAGCTCAGGTAGCGTTGTTTTCTTATTACGATTAAATTAACGCGTAAAAATTAAATGTTTATTTGGGTTTCGTATTGGGTGCAGGTGTTACTATAGTGAACGTACCACGTGATGTGATAGCATACATGAATCGACTACGAAGTTAACACGTGGTGCGGTGTAAACAACAGCACAACATTTCATCAACGCTTCGAATCGCTGCGGAGGACGCGACCATCAGCGCATATTGCGACGCAGTACTGTCATTTTTATTTCGTTGGAAATTCTTTAGCTTCTGTATTTAAACATTTTTGTTGCATTTTGACAGCCAAAATAATGCTACAACAGCACAATGTGATATAAAAAATGTTTCTGTTTTTTTCATATTTCGTGCGTTCATTGGAGCTGTCTCGTTTTGTCATAAAAATATGTCGATAAGAATTTTTATTATTGTTTGATAAGTTTTACACGCACTGCTATCATGCCCCGACCCAAACAAATCAACATTTTGTTGATAATAAACACTTTAATGGTTTTAAAAACATTCTCAGTGTAAAAATATTTTTGTTCAACTATAAATAACTCAAATGCCTATCATTAAACTAAAATACAGATAAGGTAGGCATTTTGATTTTCAGTTAAGTAACAAGGAGTCAGAATATTACGTCTGTAGTAAAAAGCAGTAATGGTTATTATTATGGTTTTTTGGCTCTACAAATTTAAAACTGTGGTACTTCTTTGTTATAAAACTTCTCGTAGCTAATCTGTATTTGGAGACGTCATGTTGATAAGAAAACTTCAAGGACTATTTGTTTACCTTTCGTGGCATTTTTATAAACAGACTTCTTAATAAATTTAGCGATTTCAAAAGTATTGTTTGTAAATGGTGAGTTAACATTTATTTAAATACATTTCAAAAATAACGTAATCTTACACGAAGAAGTAGTTACACAACCTATGTAAGAATAAATATCGTGTTTAGGTACTGAGTTATTCGTGTTATGATTACCAATACTAATAATTAATAGCGGAATTGATATTTTATTATCTAAACGATCTATTATTCAACTGCAGAAAAATTCCAAACGCAGAAAATATCGTGTTATAAGCGCTATATATTATAAATTGTTTATTTATAGTAAGGTAACATATCGACACTGTAAGGTTATGTTCAGTTACTTGTTACCGATAAGAACTTACCATACACCTTGAAGTCTTATCAAAACAATGTACCGAAAGCATTTCGCAGTTAATGCGGCCATGAATTACTGGTGAATTATGTTCATTTTGTATCGCACGAGTACTTGAATCCGCATGGCAGAGTTCATGTTTTACAGCGCGGGGTAAATCTGATTAGTTCTACAGGTATATACAAACTACAGATAACATACTATTTTACAACGATATAAAAAGTATACTATTTATTGGCCACAGCGGTATTTTATATTTGACAGCAAAAATTGTATATTCATAAAAACGCATCTCGGCGCCAGACATCTGATATCAACTGACAACAATAGGATAGGCACTCCTTCCTACCTAGGAGCTGCAATGTGATTCCGAGCGGCGTGCCGACTTCCGAGGGGGTCGGGCACTGCCGGGGGTGGGGTTCAATGTTTTGGCTGTAACGCGCGCCGCTGTCCGCAGATCGATCGATGCCCGCGCTGCGTTGCGACTTGCGCTGTACTATTATTTATTACCGAAAATATGGAGGCATGGTGCGGCACGCGGTCGACGACCCCGCTGCGACGCCATAGCGTAAACAACGCGGAATGCAGCGTAGCGCGGGAAACGTGGCTCCCTTGCGCCGTTCCTACCTGACAAGTGCGGTGCATCCGACGCGAGCGAGACTGGGCGGCGAGTGGCGACCCGCAATAGGCTAGGCACAGTTCGTTAGTTAATACCTCTATATATGAATGGAGATTTAAATAAACCGTTTACAAATTAAAATTATATTTGAATGTAGGTAGGACTCGGTAGCTTGATTGGTTAGAGCAACAGCACGGAACGCTAACGATGCCGGTACAATTCCTGCCCGAGTTGTATTAATCTATTTAGATTGCAAAACTTAATACACGGTCAGGACTTGAACCACCAATTGAGCAACCGTGCTGGTTACAGCAACAGCACGGAACTCTGTAAATGCCGGCTCCAGGCCTGTTCGTGTTCAATCAGAACAGAATTTTAATTTATATAACGCCATCATGTGCAAATATTAATACATGTGAGAAATATTAAAGTTTACTACTGATTTAAACAATATTTTTCTTTAAAACAGTCGATTACGCCGTACTACTAATGTGTAGTCTTACTTAAAAAAAAACTTAACGCAACACAACAGTAACGTATAAATTGTTTCCCGCGCTTTTCGCTCTAATACTATGTCATCTCTTTCACCCCGACCGGTTACAAACGTAGTAACGCTCGACGCACACAAATGCACTCCACGTGCAAAGTGCATACAACACACAATTTGTAGGACTTTGCACCGCCATAAAGTAACCTGTTGTTGTTCGCATGAAGCGTATGATATGGCAATAAAAAAGATAATGGCGATATACTTGACAATTACATTTGCAATTGGCGCCTGAGGCAAAAGGGGGAAAGATTATTATGTGTCTATCAGTCAACGGATATTATTCGTCTTTAGCTTTGCTAAGTGAAACACTGTGCATGTATGGTTAAACGCCACCTTGTTTACATACCAAATTTACTTACTTGCTTTAAGTATCAGATCTGAATTTCGTTAAGATTTAAATTAAGTTACTTAATCTTCGACTGCTTTGCAGCGGACGGGTAGTTAGTGTTTTATTTGAATGTGTACTACTCGCGTAAACAACAGACAGTCTTCATAAGACGTTAGTACTTAAGACAGACACAGAAGCTTGGGTAACCCAACCTATAGTGTCTTATTTAAATAAATAAGATGAGATGTCGGCCTATTTTTTTTTGCTTTGTATATCTTAACCCTTTCCTATAAACAATACACAGTGGGAATAATGTTATTATCTTGACATATCCCATGAGCTAGCGTATAAACCTTCAATCGGGCGCCAGTCGGCCGCTACGCATCACATCAGTACTGACTACTCATGGTGACGTAGAGATGCTGAGAGATAACTTGCAATAGACGCGCGAAAACACTGATCGCCGTTATAATTTGGCAATCGCTAAGAATCCTAAATGGATAATAGATTAATTTCTGAATATTTGGCTTAGTAATCGAATTAAGTATGTTCCCCAAGAATTAATGACTATACACGATGATTTTTTTATTATTCATAATACATATCACAAAACAAAAGCTACCTACTAGATATAAAATCTTACATACGAACTTATAAATAAAAAGCGGCCTTATTGCTAAGCAGCGATCTCTTCCAGGCAACCTAAACTACAGGAGCAAATAAGAAAACTTATTTTTTTTATCATTTACTCTTCGAAACATTTTTATTAACTGACTTTTGGATAATACACACAATAAAAATCAATATAAAACCGCTTATATATAAACTACCTAGGTAATTTCAAATATAAAATCGGGATGGCGTCGGTGTCTTACGGTCGACGGTTCGATTCCCATCGGGTACCTGTTGAATTATTGTCTAAATTTGCTTAACATATTAGAAGTTGGTAATAAGTTTATAAGAATATAGAAATTATAAAAATATATAATTTTTCTAATGACCCCGCGTTATAAGAAATTACAATTCGTTGTATAATAAATCTTTAAAAACGTTCAAAAACGAGCCTATAAGAGTATCGATAGTACAACAATGTCAGTCCCATACGAATAACGCGATAAGAATTGAATGTCGTCACTCGTAATCTTTAGTGAAAACAATAGTTTGATAAGGAATGGCGTCTTGTTAAATTTTCACTTAATTAATTGTTTTCCATAGGAATTCTTTGAATCGGTTTGGATTTCTCCTCCAACGGTCCAAAAATGACGGTATTTCAATAATCTTACTCTAACTCAAATTTAGGACTTATGCCATGTAAGGTGTTTGCTAAAAAGTAAAAAAACCATATCTTCGTAATTCTTGAAATAAGAAATCCTATTGTGTCCTGTTTATTTTGTTCTTTTCAGTAATATTCAATTTCAGCCCGGCTTCCGACATCAAATGTTTCTATTTATTTTTCGATGTCGCTGTATTTAATTTCTATTAAATCCTATTTTGAACAACGAAAGTGAAGCATACATTTTGCCAGGCTCGTCTAATGGTAGCAATGTATGGCTAATAATCAACGGGTCGTGAATTCGATCCCCACCAATATATGTCTAATATATTTCAATTTATAATTTTACCGTAACATGTTTGGCTTCGTTTGGAAATCTGGATATTAAATGAGTGGTATGAATATCGACATTCCGTCCGGGATTTAGTCTGAGAATTTCCGAATATTCAAACTCTATATGGCTGGGCTATTTCAGCTACCATCAAGTGGACCCCCCACGGCTGTCTCTCTATTAAAATGAATATTGACAATATCATTACCCCCTTGGCACTACGAGGCTTGTCTCCAAGCGATTAACTGGCAATTACTATTTGCTCGGTGACATTTTACCGGCGTGTCGTGGAAAACGCGAAGGTTCCCACGCTAATTAGCAGGCTCTTTGTGCCCGCAATGCCGCCGTTTGTGAATGAATAGTCATCAATGAAACACCTGCAACGAGATGGTGGATTAATTGTTGCTATAATGAACATAATTCCCACAAAACGGTGCGCGCTGATGAGAAATGCGAATATGACTCAACGTTATTCTCTGAGGCTCGAGTTATTTCGTTAGGAAATATTTTGATGCGTGAATCGTTTAAACACCTACCTACAATGGATTTATATTTAATAAAGGAATTTGTACGGTTTAAAATGCGAAATATATTGTTTAATTTATTTAAAACAAATATTCACGTAAACAGGCAATACTTACTTACTTACTTACCTACTATAGATTATATTCGCAAAACAAAACAAAGTTTATTGGACCTTGACACCATAATATTAATTATTAAATCTGTTTGTTAGCGATACTGAAATAAGTATAAACGACAAGGTACAAAATTACGAACATATATGTATATGTAAAAATGGTTCATGAATATAGGTAGTTTTTATAGATATAACTCAGAATACAATACCTAAATGGCTTTGTTGTCTATCTTATTATAAATACATTTCAGTACAACGAAGTTTCACAACCGTCGTACGTATAATATCCTATAAATTATTTTCCTTCTCACGACACTATCTTTGAACGTTTAGCGATAAAAAAAGACTCGAAGGTAAATTAAAAACGTGTAATGTTTAATTACTTTTTTATCATTGTAAAATGTATGTTCCTAAAGTATTTTGTCTAGTTTAGTTATTTCCACTTTTGTAAAACAGAACTGGAACCAACTTTATTCGTCCTATTATGTGTCTTTCTACTTAGCTGTTGCAGCTGTAAATATTGTGTAGATTATAAGTCCATACATACAATGAAATAAATGATTAGTATAGTGTCTATAGTTTATGCGATCGGTACAAATTCAGTCAGATAGAACTGTTTAAAACGCGATATATTTACACCTGCAGCCGCGGTCTATCCATGACCTCTCTGTAAGGCATCCAAATCTTAAAAATAATGTTCGATTATAAACAGTAAATAGTGTTTTATTTAATTACTAGCTCACTCAGTACGCGTAGAATTTAATGAGAAATCATTCTTTAACACATATTTTTTGGGTGTCTTGTTTTTGCAGCGTACGCAATGGAAACCCGCAAGGTTGAATAATTTTTCCCGTTTTTTTGACACGTCCCGCTCTTTATTCGGTCCTATTAGTCACAGCAATATTAGCCTATAGCATTCTGAATAAATGCTCTAACTAACACAAAAAAATGGTTCACTTCGCACCAGTAGTTCCTGAGATTAGCGCTTTCAAACAAACAAAGTCTTCAGCTTTATATATTAATATAGAAATATAGATAAGCATATTAAAGTCATTATAATAATCACTTTTAACGGTTTAAAACACGTGTTATTTGAATTTGCACTGCTCGCGTAAATACTGAAAATCAGTTAAACTAACAAGTCAATCTCAATCTTGAAAGTACTATAAAACCTCGCATTTTAGTAACATTGCTCTTGTACATTTTGTAACAAAACAACAGGAAAATGGAAAAATATTTGAGCGTACCCACGAAGCGGCCTACGTATTTTTACATGTTTGTTTAAAATTTAACGTTTACGAAGAACTTACATCACGCCGTGACGTCAAGCAAGTAAGCCAAATAAATAGAGATACACTGCGGGCATTAGCCGACAGTTATTAATAGTAACTGTTTGAGACTGTAAATAGACCGCTATGTAGTTAAAAAGTTGTAACTCAAAAGTTCAACCGACATTTCGAACCGTATGAGTAACGAATAACGACGCATTAACGAGGTGCGTCGTTAAATCAAAGAGATGAGTGTAACGGCTCATATTTTATTCAAATATACTGCTAATGGGCATGTGTCATTTTTCTATTGAAGTGTGTCAAGTCTTGAAAATTTATCGCTTTAAAAGAATTTCGCTTTAACTATTTTTACCCCAGCCCTGGGCGTAGGTGATCCCCATTGGGTCCAACATTTGTCTATTTAATTTATATTTTAAACCCTTTCATATCATTTAAATTGACATCGGAATAACGTTGAAATTTTTTTAGCGTTCATTCGATAAATCATGAATAATTAATGAAACACCCTAAGCTAACATCAAAGCCGTTCAATTGTATAAACGCTTTGTTTACACGTTTAGTTGCCATTCACGAATGTATTTTGTCTCACGTAATCAGAAAATGGTACGCGTTGCGGGAGATTTTACATTTTTACACGATACTAAATAGAGATTCAAGATAAATACACCTTATCTACAATGAAAAAGAGGTAGATCAATTTTCTTCATAATTACTTCTATATAGTGCAGAATTTTTGACTGTTTCTTGTTACATATATAAACAAAGTATAAACTTATTTTATATTCCTGCATTTTTTTACATTTTAATCCATCATCATCAGCCCATAGGCTTCCACTGCTGGATTTCGGGCTCTCCCAACCTTAGCACTCGCCCTTTAGACCTCTATTTATCCATTTGCTGCCGGCTCCATCGAACGTCTTCTCTTCTGCAGACATTGCCAGCCCATTTTTCTAGATATTGTAGGCATTTTAATTAATAATAATACCTAATTCAGTCGTTATTTGAAATAACGTTTAGAAACATAATAACAATTTTATTAAGCTGCCGTAGTGTATATTGAAGTATGCAGGTAGGTATATATTTGTAAATCATTTTCCGATAGCGTACGTCTTACTTATTACAAGTATTTTGGCCATTGATTTTTTACGATATCCTCAATTGATATTGTAAGATTTCTGATGTTATATACGAGACTTATGACTTTTGTTTTCAGCTCGGGACATGTGGTCAGGAGTGCAGTGTCGCGCGGCGTGATGCGGCGCGCATGCGACTGGGTCGCGTGGCCGGTGCTGGCCGGCGCACTGCTCCTGGTATTCAACCATGCCTACGCCATCGAGATGATAGCACCCGGAAGTGAGTACCTAGTTTACTTTAGTAACTGTAGATTTTCAAACATGGAAGGATGGAAAAATAGTGTTATTTTTCTAAAGGTTAAGGTACTCTAAGCACCGTCTTTATTTATAGTTACATCACGACAGTGATACGCACCTCAGAAATATGCAAAAAGTAAATAACAATAAACGCTGATACCTTCATAAAATTCGTATTTGTTTTTAGTCACGATCGCAAACTGACGCAAGAATTTAACAGACTAAACGGGGTTGGTACATAGTAACCACAAATAATTATATGATGGGTTTTTTCTATATTCCGCAAATATTGCTATAGCCGCAAACTTACGAAATATAGTGGTAATTATTAAACCACATACAAAAGTAGCATTATAAAGTAAATGTTATTTCGTTTATTGCCTATTTATGGCGGGGCTAAGAGGAAGAGAGATGGTGTTTTCACTTTTGTGTTTGTCAGCCACGGTGTGATTAGAAGCTATACTAATATTTTAAAACTTTATACTCATTTGTTTGAACTCCCTAATCTCTGGAACAACTGGATCGATTTGATTTTTTTTGTTGTTGGACCATTTATCGATGAAAGCTTTGTGCTATAAAATACCAGGCTGCGACCAATAGGAGCGAAGGAACTGAGGGAAATGTGGAAAAACGAGGAAAAGTTGTTCGTTTTAGAAAGCTTGCGTTGCGTGCGCTGCGAAAATGGTTCAAGAAACCGAATAATATTTATGAAAGAATGATCCTTCTCTTAAGCTGAGGTGGTTGTTTGCAGAAATAAATAGTTTGATGCCCAAATAACTCCAGACGGACAAAGTCGCGGGCACAGCTAGTACTTAATAGGAAATACATGATATGCCAGAGTAAATAGCATTTAAATAAAGTTTTCGCGTTTAATTTTCAATGTTTGGTATTTTTTTTATATACTACTTACTTGTTACAGTGAAGAAATCTAACTGTAATCCTCAAAACGGTTTTATCAATGTGCGTGCGCATAGTATGAATGAAGCACTAAAATATTTCGATCGCTTATCGCGTGGTATGATCAATGACTCCAAAATTAGCCATCTCTCTTGTTATGACAAGGAAAATAGATATCAATGTTTTATTTATGAATGAATACATTTTAAAAGCGCCTAAACTTTTGGAATATATTTTATACCTTTGTGTTTAAATGGTGTTATTGTAATAAACATCCGAAACGTCGGGCCGTATGTATGATAAATTCTAAGTAAGGTAACGAATATGTTTGCGTTTTAACCCGTTAAAAGTGTTTAATTTTAATGTGTACTACTTGCATAAACTGCAGACAATGGTTATAAAAGTCTTCTTTCTGAAATACAGTCAGTCCTTGTCAGCCACAGTTATTTTGTTGGCACATTGATTTCAAACACACTGTTTTTGTTGAATTTTCATCAGTAAAAAAAAACAAACATTTAAAAAACTTATATACTTATTGAAAACAGGCATTTATGTACATCGCCATCAACGCGTAACGGGTCTTAACTTTGAATCTTAAAGCCACTTTGAATGACAACAAATCATAACATTTATGTATTTAAACAAAACGTTAAGTACCTTTTCCCTATCAGTTGTTAGGAGTTCGCAGAATTTCGGAAAATTAATTTTTCTTATAGGTTTTCCTCCTTTCACTCACTTAGTCTCAATAGCTAGTACCTTAATAGCGTTAAAAAATTGTTCAATGATGATTTGTATTAGACGTGAATGTGAACTGTTTTGTTTTCGTGCTTGTAGTGTTTGAGTAGAACCTATAGTCCTTAGTACGTATGACACTGTCTCGTGCCTACTGTGTGGCGGGGTGCGCGGTCATTGCAGCGAGAGCCAAGGGGCGAGAGCGGACGTGTCGCCTGCGCACACAGTGAGTTGCCGAGCCAGTGAGATTGCATTATAAAGGCACTACAAGTGGCGACGAGGACAAAGGTCAGACTATTTAATTTATATAATTCAAATTGAAATAAAATAAAAGGGGTCAATGTACTAAAAAAAAGAAATAATAATGATAAAATCATGAACACTCAAACCATTGTGAAATTACCTACAGGCAATTACAACCGCTCAAGAGTACAAGTGCATTTGTTTATTTCATTCGTGACTCGTTTTATTAAAACTATGTTAATATCGCTCATTGTTGTTTATAGTTGTCGAATTTAAGTAGCTACTGCCTATATTGGCATAATAGTGTCCTTATCGCTGGTGTCGCAAACAGGTTGTTACAAATTTTAGTTTTAGACTCCGAATAAATAACTACCCGCCGGTTCGCTGCAACTTCTAAACAACATAGTGCGGGTGCAGATGTTCATAATTATTATTCAATGTAAGTGCGGACCCGATAAAAGTTTTTATTGTGTTTCTATAATAATAATAATTTATTTGTCGGACCATAAATCCATACATTAATTTAATTAATTCTAATGTGCGTTAGTTGGGTTAGTAACAATTATAACTTAAAATGTATATTAGAATGTGTTAGTCACTAAAATTAAGTAGACAGAATACATAGAATAGGTGCTAGGCGCTAAGGGGGAGCATGGACGTCACTCCATCGTTTTAGCAGCACCGTATACTTTTCACACACTGCCTCCAGAATGCTTATGGTGCTTTGTCGAACTCGATACATGAGGGAAGCTACACGCTTGCGGATGATGGCGTGGAAAGCAAAGTCTATGGGTCGGTATACAATATAGTTACTATTTATGTTTATTACAATTATACCTTAAGTTATATTAATTACGTACCCTCTAAAATGTTACAAGTGGTTTTAGACATTTATTAAAAAATGTACACATTCACTCATTACTAGGTTAACTAAATATTACATTCAAATTTGGACAGTATTGTTATTTAACACAACTATAAGAAGGAGGTAGTTGAACAGTATGTCTTGGTATTATTATCTAGCTTTGACGTCGTCGGCGCGAACGCAGCTGATCGAGTAAACATACAAAGATAAGCGATACCAGATGGTGCATTCGCACATCACATTAAGTTTATTATTTTTCTGTATTATTTCTAGACAGAAACATCTAGTTTTATAGTTTCATGAATTTGATTTACTTATAGTATTTTCTGTTTTTGCTTGAGATATATTTTTTATTTGTTGTAGGTTGTATCTGTGTGCGAAATTTACTTGTTAATTATAATAAATTTAATTTACATGTTTTTTAGTAAATGTTCTTTTATTTTTTGTTTAAATAATTTGTAGGAGTTTATTTGTTTAATTTTATTTTGGTATATTGTTATATATTTTGGCGTATATAAGTACCCACTATATCAACTTAAAATGGAATTGCAGACGTTTTTATATAAATCTACTAGTGTAAAATGTTACATCGCCCACTTCTATAATTTTGTGCATACTCATGTATAGCTAGTTAACTCCAAAAAAATGGTACAATGATATAATACCCCCATTCGATTGGAAATAAGTGGTACAGTGATACCTCCATTAAATTGGAAATCAATGGTATAAAATACCCCCATTCAATTGGAAATTTGTGGTTAATTATAGGGAATCTGGCACGTAAGTACCACCATTAAATTGGAAATACATGGTAGTTTATACCTCCATTAAATTGGGAATCTGACACATAAGTACCACCATTAAATTGGAAAACATGGTAGTTTATACCTCCATTAAATTGGGAATCTGGCACATAAGTACCACCATTAAATTGGAAAACATGGTAGTTTATACCTCCATTAAATTGGGAATCTGGCACATAAGTACCACCATTAAATTGGAAAACATGGTAGTTTATACCTCCATTAAATTGGGAATCTGGGACATAAGTACCACCATTAAATTGGAAATACATTGTAGTTTATACCTCCATTAAATTAGGCATCTGGCATAGAAGTACCACCATTAAATTGGAAATTTACAAACAAAATCGCGAAAGGTTTTATTATTTTTTATGTCGCGCCTTTCAGCTCATGACAAATCTACCTACATTGGAAAAGTTGGATTTGGAGGGAGATAGTCATTAGGCCATTTGGAAAAAGTGGAAACGTTCATTAAATATATACTAAGAGGCTACAGATATAACAACACCGATGAAAAAAGGGCGACACTTCTACTTCTTGGTGGATCGGGCCTTCAAGAAATTTTCTATAGTTTCCCGGGTGCCAATGCTACACCCTCTGGTGATAATAATGTTTTTGACATAGCTATTCAGAGACTCGACGATTATTTCACTCTAAAGCAAAGCAAAATTTATGAAAGACATTTGTATCGTTTAATAAGACAAGACGAAGGTAAAATATTCGATAAGTTCTTAGTAAGGCTGCGGAATCAAGCTGAAAAATGCCAATTTGATAAGCCGGACGATCACCTAATCGATCAAATAATAGAGAAGTGCCTCTCTGTTGGTTTGTGAAAGAAAATTTTGACAATACGAGATAGTGTAACATTTAGACAAGATAATCACAGAGGCTAATACTCTAGAAGTTGTAAAACGTAAATTGGAAGAATATGGTCAGCTAAATAAATGAACAGAGGTGCATGCAGCGGAGTCTTCGAAAAATAAAGGAAGATTTAGCAGGAGTAGGTCCAGGTCAAATTCAAATAAAGGGTGTGGCAGATGTGGAAATTCGAGACACTTGTCATGTTAAAAACTGCCCGGCGTTAGGCAAAGTATGCTATGCATGTGGAAAAATAGGCAAGCAGTATTACAAGACAGGTATTCAGAAAAAGGAAATTGGAAGGAACTGATAGGAAGCGATGGAAAAACCTAGTAAATATCCCAGCCTAGAATCAAGGTAAAGTTTAAAAAATATAACAGATGATGAAGTCGATTATGTTTTTAAAATCAATAATGATGCAAATATAGAACGTGATGTGGGTATAAAAAAACTAAAATGTTGATTGATTCCGGATCTAAATATAACCTAGTCACTGACAAAATATGCATTGCACAACAAAAGCTTTAAAAAAGAAATGAGTTGCAAAGCTTTTTGGGCTTCTTAACAACGACGACAGAGCCATTGAAACAATTATTTAGGAAGAAATTTGGCAAAAATGCTAATATCGAGGAGTTGGATGAAGATGGACCCAAGAACAGAATCAGGCTTTTGAGAACTTAAAAATAAATAATCTCTGACCAAAATTCAAAACCTTGGATACTACGACATAAACGACAAAACCCAGGTTATTGCTGATGCCAGCCCTGTCGGATTAGGCGCAGTTTTGGTTCAAATTGATGCCAACAGACCCCGAATTATTGCTTTTGGGAATTGCACATTAACCGAATGCGAGCGTAGATACAGCCAAACTGAAAAGAGGCTTTGGTTTTGGTTTGGGCTATAGAGCATTATAATATATTTCTATTCGGCAAGGAGTTCGATTTAATCACTGATCATACACCCTTAGAGGTTTTGTTTGGAGTGAGGTCAAAACGTTGTGCTAGGATAGAGAGGTGGGTACTACGTTTACAGGCGTATTGGTATAACATCATATACAAGCCTGGAAAGATGAACATCGCAGATCCATTATCACGACTGTGCATAATCTCAGATTGCAAAAAGACCAATGACGACGAACATGTCAACCAGATTGTAGAAAATGCTAAACCATGCGCAATTTCTTTGACCGAAATTAAAATGCATTCAGAGCAAGATTCGGAAATACGTTAAGTAAGGCAAGGTATCTACGACAAGAACTAAGAAGATAATGTCATAGGATATAAGATCTTCGAAAATTAATTGTACTTTTTCGGTGATATACTCCTAAGAAGAAATAGAATAGTTATAGCATCCGTATTTCGGAAAAGAGTTCTAGACGCTGCACACGAAGGTCACCCTGGGATTGTCGGCATGAAATGACGGTTACGGACCAAAGTATGGAGGCCAAAACAGACAAGGATTCTGGATGCCTGGTATAGAGTTGTAAGGGCTGTACTTCAGTAGAATTACCAATTCCGCCAGCTCCTATGAAACGTCGGGAACTCCTAGATGCACCTTGGGTGGATATAGCAATGGATTTACTAGGGCCATTACCCAGCAATGATTATTTATTAGTCGTAGTAGATTATTATAGCCGTCACAAGGAAGTGTAGATAACGAAGACCATTACTAGTTGTAATAATCAAGCTATTGAAAGAAATATTTGGCAGCCTAGGTTATCCATCATCAATAACGGCAGATAACGGCCGACAGTTTGTGAGTGCAAAATTTAAAGATTTTTGCAACGAATGTAATATAAAACTTTTTAGTACAGTGCCTACTGGCCTCAACAAAATGGCGAAGTAGAGAGACAAAACAAAAGTATTGAGAAAAAAGATTTACAAGATAGCTTGAATGACTTCCTCAAGATGTATAATTCAACACCTCACTCTGTAACAGGGAAAACACCAACAAAATTGTTTTACAAAAGACAGAACTTAGAGGCAAAAATAAAGAACAAAAAGAGAGAGGAAAAGAACACGGAGACAAAAGAAGAAAGGCACAGAATGTGGATTTGAGCGGAGGAGACAGAGTTTATGTAAACCAAATGTCACAAGCTTGCCCCAAATTATAACCCAGCACCACACATACATGACAGACTCTGAGGAGAAACATATTACCTTTAAAGAGAGTAGAAGGCGAGTGGATATCAATGCAAGATATTTAAGAACCTAATCTGACAAACAACAGTAGAAATAAAAAAAAACAGTGAGTTACAGTAAATTGTTAACTTATATACTATTAAGAGTAATCAAGGGCAATTGTATCAAATGATTAAAAAAGTTTTTGATAAGAAAGAGATGTAGTGTTTGAGTAGAACCTATAGTCCTTAGTACGTATGACACTGTCTCGTGCCTACTGTGTGGCGGGGTGCGCGGTCATTGCAGCGAGAGCCAAGGGGCGAGAGCGGACGTGTCGCCTGCGCACACAGTGAGTTGCCGAGCCAGTGAGATTGCATTATAAAGGCACTACAGTGCTCAATTAATCTCTGCAAGTCTTTAGAGTAAACATTCTATAAGCGGTACTCGTGTATTTAGAGGGTCTGCGTTCGATTCCTGGGAAAACAGTTGTAATAGTTACGAGTAAGAAACGGAAGTCTGATCAACCTGTAAATAAAAGGGATCAGTAAACGGAGACAGAATGTGTTCTTCTCATCCCCGACACGGGGAAATGAGATTTCACATAGCTATATAGTTGCGACTTAAAGCCTAGACGCACGATGGAACGGCCCCAAAAGTAAAAGAAATGTTGGTCGACCAATATGTGGTGGTGATAATATCCTGCAAATGACAGTAGAGGATCAATCAAGTTAGACAAAGACAAGGATGCATAGCAAAGGGTCGAGAAGACCTTTACCCCCTCAGGACCCATTACCAATATGGACCATATTTCAAAAAAAAATAATAAAACTAAAAATGTACTAAGAAAAAAATACGATCATTTAATATCTACTTATATTACTAAAACGTAGAAACAGGGAATAAATGGCTTTATTATTATTATTTTAAAATTGTAAATCGTTTAACCTTCACTTTTTTATAATTTGCGGTCGCAACCAAGGACATCGTTTTATAGCTACACGACTGTTCGCGCCACGTGTATATAGTATATTGTACATATACTGTGTAGTGTTTATTATGTAAAGCTATCGATGACCGTTCGTTAGCACGCCGGATATTTGCAAAAACTTCCGCGGCCATTGATCTTTCCCGCCGTGGGGCCACTTGTGGGTCGTGATTTTATTTTTATTATTATTTTTTCCCATGTTTGCGGGCGTGTTGTTGAACTCCACGGTCAGATAGGGTGACGCAAGCGTTCTAGATAACATACAAAATCTTTAATTGACAGTTGCCGCGTTGTTGCCTCGATTTTGGTTTTTTTATTTACGTTTTTACATATCAATAAGAGATCAACCAAAACAGCTGTGCCAGAAGTTACTTGAAGGAGTTTTTATTCGTCTGTCTTTCTCTTATCTTTAGGAGCTGTTTTTTTTTTGCATTATATTCAAAGCCTAGTCGTGAAGATGTTATATAGAGGTAACACCTTCCATCAACTCTATGCATCTCATAATAAAATAGTAAAGACGTCAAATTCTGAATGTCACATGGTAGAACGATTCTCCTTACGCGATGTTTAATTCGTCAGATAACAAGTCGAATACGATGTTGTTTGTTTGTGGTTCCGCGCTCAACGACCGGGCGGAGGCCTCGTTTAGGAGGCGCCTCGTTATTATCTTGCGAACGCAGTCGAAATTTATTCGACCGTGTAATACGTCGATATCGAACTTCGCTGCAAACGTCCATTTTGTTTTAATATGTGCCTATTTAAAATGATATATCAAATAAATGAGATGTATACTACAATAGAAGCATATTTTATAACTGTGCCCGTAACTTCGTCCGCGTAGAATTTTGGGGGTCGAAATTCCCATCGTTCTTGTGATTGTGATAGACATACACTAACAAGGGCATTTTTTTAGATCATGTAAACAAGAATCATTCTTTTATACATATTTTTAGGGTATCTTGAACCTTAAATCGTATTCGCAGGGCTCACAACGGAAACTCTCTAATATGAATATTGTTCCCTGTTTTTTCCTCATTTCCCACTGTTTTCCCTCCCACGGTCACAGACGGATGTTTTATAGCCTAAAGTCTTACTTTATAAATAGTGCAACCTACAGATAGATAATTTTTCAATCCGAACTAGTAGTTTCTGCGATTAGCGCGTTTAAAAAACCCCCTCAGTTTTATAACATTAGTTTTGATCTGACTGACTGCCTCTGTAGCCAAATGGTAATTGCGTTGAGCGCGAGAGGTGCTGGAAAATGTTTCGGTCGGGCAGTTCACAGAAGTCTGATCAAATACTTGCCCGTTAAAATAACGGACACAGGAACAGGACCCACGAGGGGAAAACGGGCTCTCAAACATAGATGTGACTACCTACATTCAACATATTTTTTTGGATTCAACATTTGCTAAACTAACCCGACACCTAACATGGCCGTTTACAACTTAGACCCATAAGACTAAAAATAGATATCGAAACAATAATATTATCACAATAATGAAAGGCGCCTCGTAATTATCATTTAGTCTTTAGACTTTGTTCTCAGCTTCATAAGATAATGCGACATTCTTCAGTATGTTTCCAATGCAAATGATATAGCTCAACATCTCTAAAGTCTGGTGTTCGAAAATGAGAAGTGAGTCTTATAGAACTAACGTAAAATAAAATAATAATTTTAACCTTTTTTTAAACACCAAATATGGATTGATCCTTTTTTTTAAGGTGAATTTCCCGCCAATTTTCTTTCCTTTACACTTAAGCCACTGCGCCATTATCACGAATCATCTCGTCGACTAAAATCTGCTTAGTATGTAACGTGATGGAGTGAAACATTCCTACTGACAAAATCATGACGCCTGCTTTGCCGTGGCGGTTAAAAACAAAAGCTTCACAACTGATGTGTTACAGAAACGTATCATATTTTCTTAAACAAACAACGGACTGTCCGACCTACATTCGCGCCATTCATAAAATTATTTTAATAGCGTCGGACTTTGAACCTGTCACCAAACAACAGTTAACAAATACAACTTCAATAATACCTCGTGGTTTTCCCTGTAATTGATCTTTATGTTTACAAAGTTAAAGGTATATTGTGTGTATATAGGGGATTACACAATGAATGTAATTTTCCTTAAAATAATTTATACGGAAATTCCTGAGTTCAAATAGCCGAATTGTTAATCTATTAACCGCATTTCGTAACTGAATCGTCGTTATAATTTGACGGGCTCGTTGCTCGATATATGGGTCGCGGGTTCCGTCTCCACCAGGTCCAACATCTTTCTTTTCAATTTATAATTTTTCTGAAACATGTTTGACTTCGTCTGAAAACCTGGATATTAAATGAGTGGTGGGAATATAGAAATTCCGTCCAGGTCACGAACCACCGTCCACAGATGAAAAAGCTGAGAAGTTTAATTGTGTTTCAAGTTCAGTCTGTGGATTTGCGAGTAAACTGAGCCAAAGTAGATTGACAGCGCATCTCGTTGACAATTATGATTAAAATATTTTATTGGCAGCGAAATAGATGAATAGATGGGGAAATAATCAAATCGGATTATTTACAAAGCCCGCACTTATTCTTAGAGATGACAGCATATGTTTTATAACTGTTTGTGAAAATTCAAACAAGGCGAAGGCCGTTGCCTCGAGCACACTCGAGACTAAAACATTGAAACAACAGCTTGAGAGCAAGCGGAGTTTCCTAATTTAATCTTGACTAGCTGTGCTCATTTTTGAAATTTAATTCGAAATCTGTACAAAAAGTAAACAGTGACAAGTCTTCCCGTGACCTCAACTGCTGCATAGCATCCGAAACGTCGGGCCGTTGTTAAAATAATTTTAACTAATATTGGATATAAGGTTTAAAAATTTATTTATTTCTCAAATATAAAACAAACAACCTCTTACTGAGAAACTAGGGTAATTTCATTTTAAACTTAACTAGCATTTGGTGCTGCCCGCACTGTCTTATCCGTTTACAATATAAGTTACATTTGTCTATATAAACTGACTAGATGCAGCTATTTTTAGATTGCGATAGCGCGTAGGCCTGCATTCCACAGCGAGCTGCACTATTTAGTTGTGACATTATTTTGCTTTAAGTTAACAATATAAATAAGTTTAAAATATTATACATTATTGAGTGAGTGAGTGAATCCCTAAGACTTTGAATATGGTTTTTAAGTGTTTTTTTTTAAATAATATATCGCGTTTTAAACCGTTAAAGTATTTTATTTAAAATGACAATTATTAATTCTCTGTTTCTGGACATTTTTTTACATCCCCGATGCCTATAAGTGTCGAACTATGAGTATGCACTACTAAGAATGTAAGTACTATTTGGTTAAATATTCCGTGAGGTTAACGCAAGTGCAGACTAACTCTGTAGTGGCTTCTGTGAAGCATCTGAAACGTCTCGTGTGTTGTCGAAAAGCTCTAATTAAAATAAATCGTATATCAGTAACTAATATATTTCGCATTTTAAACCGTTAAAAGTGTTTAAAGAGTGCAAAGGAAAAGAGTCTAGGTTTACAAGTATATTATTAGTATAGATACAAATATAACGTTATAAGGACATCGAGGGCCCCACTGTCTAAAGGCCAACCCTTATCCTGGATTGGGTATAATATAACATGTACGATCACCATCTGTCGCAGAGTTGAACGACCTCGGGCCAGACAACCCCATTCACGACCCCCTCTATTTAGATTCGCATGAATTGAAATTTCCCTTGGAAAGCTAAGCTGTGCATTATGGCGTTTAAAGTGATAGTAAACAATGGTTCCACCTTCGTTTGTTTGCAGGTGATGTGCGGTTGTCGGGAAAAATTTAACGAACTAGTAAATGGACTCGTGAAAATCGAAATCACTGATTCAAAAATCTATATTGTTCGTAGTTTGCCAGTATAATACTTATTTCAATAAAAACACTTTCAACACATTCA